CTGTCTCTCTAAACTGTCAATTAAACATTTTTTAAATAAATAAAATTTTTAAAAAACCATGACTGAGCTGTGGAAACAAAGAAAGTCTTGGCCTAATTGAAGGAATTAGACATGTAATATCTCAAAGAATGTTCAAACATGTAAGAAAGAAACCTGGTGACAGAAGATGAGACGAGGCATGACAAGAAGGAAATTGTTAAAATTGATGTAATAAATGCTTTACAGAGAGAGAATCTGGAGTTATAGTATGAGTAGAGAATCATGCTCTGAATGTGTTTACCCGTGCCGATGATCAAGGTTAGATGCCCCAAGGATGGATTTACCGCACTCAGGGAACTCAACTCCACACCACCAGAGAAATACAAAGGGAAAGTACTATTGTTTCATGGATGGATTTACCTTGTGTCCTGGGGATGGACTTGTGTCCATGGATGACAGGGACATTAGCCACATGCCTGGGGATGAATTTACCCTACTAAGACAGGGAATCACCTCCACAACGGCAGAGAAAGAAATACAAAGAGAAAGAACTTTGATCCGTGGATGTGTTTACCATGTGCCCTGTGGGTAGACTTACCAGGACACTGGCTATATGCCCTGGGGATGAATTTACCCCACGCAGACAAGAACCTCAACCCCACAATGACCAAATAAGGGGGGAAGAAAAGGGGTCCCTTCAGATGTCAGGGGTGATCAGGTCCTGACTTACTGGACCTTATCACACAGGTGTCACCTAGGGACAGTCGTGTGAATGGGTGATGCCCTGTCCAGAGTGGAGAATTACCTTCCATCTCAGTGTTGAAGAGGTGCATTTTGGTTAGAGGAAATATTCCACACTAACAGGAAGGCTTCCCCCACATCAATGATAAGACATGAGAGAAGATGAATAAGAAAAAGTGTCCGGAAGAGAAAACAACTCCAGTGCCCTACATTGTGCACCAGAATGTTAAAGGACAGGGACCAGCCTACAGCAGGTCTGCCTAAGGCCAGCTGGTAGTGTGTGTATGTTCTGACTTGGTGCAGGAAAGATTTCAAAGTAAGAGTCCAGGTGATTTTGAGAGTACATTTTCTGAAGCTGGGGACAGTGAAACAAAGAAAGAGAGCCCAGATGGTGCTCTGCTTTAGCTTGCTAGAAATGTTACAGGAAATAAATGAGCCAAAGAGGGCTGCTGTCAGCTCACTGGAAGTGAAGGTCACAGTGACAGAGGTGAGCCAAGGTAGGTCTTAGGATTCAAAAGCTGGTTTTATTTATTTTTTAAAGTATTATTTTTGGCCCGACCAGTGTGGCTCTGTGGCTGAGCGTCGACCCATGCACCAAGAGGTCACCAATTTCCGGTCAGGGTACATGTCCAGGTGGTGGGCCCAGTCCCCAGTGGGGGGCATGGAGGTGGCAGTCAATTCATATTCTCTCTCATCAATGTTTCCAGCTCTCTTTCCCTGTCCATTCCTCTCTCTCTAAAAATCAATAAAGAAAAAAATTTTTTTTTTTATCCTTACCCGAGGACATTTTTTTTTTTTTTTTGATATTTTGTTCAGATAGAGTGGGAGGGAAGGAGAGAGAGAAACATCGATGTGAAAGGGACATATCGAGTGGTCGCCCCCCACACGACCCAACCAGGGCCTGGGACAAAATGCAACCGAGGTACGCACCCTCAGCGGGAACCAAACCTGGGTCTCTCCAGACCGCAGGCCAATGCTCCAACCGCTGAGCCAAAACAGCCAGAGCAAGAAAAAAAATTTTAATAGTTAAAAAAAATATATATATATGTTATTTTTGTTTGTTTTGTTAATCCTCACCTATAGATGTTCTTCCATTGATTTTTAGATAGAGTGAAAGGGAAGGAGAAAGGGAGAAAGAGAGAGAGAAGGAAACATTGATGTGAGAGAGACACATCAATTGGTTGCCTCCAGCACAACACCAACCAGGGCCAGTGATTGAATCTGTAATCCAGGAATGTGCCCCTGACCAGGAATTGAACCCACAACTCCTTGGTCTGTGGGCTGAAACTCTAACCTCTGGGCCAAACTGACCGGGACAGTAAATGTTAATTTAAAAAAAAAAAACATTAGCAAAGGAAAGACAATAACAAAGGTTAGAGGAAAAATCAATAAAATGGACACTAGAAAAACAATAACAATATCAACAAGTCTAAGAGCTAGTTTTTTAAATATATAAATAAAATTGACAAACCTTTACCTAGGTTAACTCAGAACAGAGAAAAGACTCAAATAAATTAATTCAGAAATAAAAGAAGAGAAATTACAACTGATAGCACAGAAACACAAAGGATCCTAGAAAACTACCATTAAAACAGGCAAAAAGCCCTGGCCGGATTGGCTCAGTGGTTAGAGCATCAGCCTGCGGTCCCGAGAGACCTGGGTTCAGTTCCCGCTAAGGGCATGTACCTTGGTTGCAGTTTGTCCCCGGCCCTGGTCGGTCGTGCGGGTGGCAGCCACTCCATGTGTCCCTTTCACATCGATGTTTCTCTCTCTCTCTCTCTCTCTCTCTCTTCCTCTCTCTCCCTCCCACTCTACCTGAATAAAAAATGTCCTCGGGTGAGGATAAAAAAAAAAAAAAAAAAAAACAGGCAAAAAAATCAGATACCCCGGAAGACACAGATAAATTGCCAGAAACATACAACCTACCAACACTTAATCATGAAGAAACAGAAAATCTGAATAGACTAATAACAAGTAAGAAAATAAAATCAGTATACAAAATTCTCCCAACAAAGAAAAAGATCCATAACTAGATAGATTCACTGGTGAATTCTATTAACACTGTAAGAATGATTAATGGGAATCCTTCTTAAACACTTCCAAATATTTGAAGAAAAAGGAATGTTTCCAAACTCATTTTAAGAGATCAGCATTAACCTGACACCAAAGCCAGATAAGGACACTACAAAAAGTTATTATAATGCAACTTCACTGATGAACATAGATATAAAACGACAACAAAAAGCCTAAACAAATTACTACTAAAAAGTTCAACATCATGAGAAAAGAATCATAAACTGTGATGACATGGAATTTATCCCTCAAATACAATGATGGTTCATCATAAACAAATCAATAAATGTGCTACATTAACCAAATAAAGGGGAAAAATTTTATGCTATACCACTACATAGAGAAAAAGCATTTAACAAAATTCAAAATATTTTCATGATAAAAATTCACAAAAAATTGGGTGTAGAAGGTATATACTTCAATATATATATGATAAGTCCACAGCTATCAGCATTCAACAGTGAAAATGTAAAAGCTTTTTCTCTAAGATCAGGAATATGTGAAGGATGCACACCCTCACCATGGTTTTTCAAAATAGTACTAGAAGTTCTAGCCCAAAAAATAAGACAGGAAGGAAAGATGAAAGATATCCAAATCAAAAAGAAAGAAAACTGCCTGTGTTGCAGATTACATGATTTCACATCAACAAAATTCTAAAAAATATACCAAAAGAACTCCTCTCCCTTCCTCTCTCTCTAAAAGCAATAAAGAAAATACAATTTTTTAAAAAATATAGGTTGGGTGTTCAACAACACAATAGCAAAAGAATAATCCCATTACAAAAATGGGTTTATCAATGACCTAAACATGGCTAAACATACATAAAAAACGTTCTATGTATTGGTTTCGGCACAAAAACAAAAACAAAATAACATTCACAAAACACACACACACACACACACACATGTTCTCCCTCATTATTAAAAAATGCAAATAAAAACTACAGTGAGCCCTGGCTGGTTTGGCTTAGGGGTTAGAAGGTTGGCCTGAGGACCAGAGAAGCCTGGGTTTGGTTCCCGCTAAGGGCATATACCTCAGTTGTAGTTTGTCCTCAGCACCGGTTGGGGTCATGGTGGCAACCACTTGATGTGTCTCTCTCACATTGATGTTTTGCTCTCTCTCCCTCCTGCTCTATGTCAAGATAAATGCAAAAATGTCCTCGGGTGAGGATAAAAAAAAAACCTACAATGATACCACTTCTCATCTAATAAGATGGCTACAATTAAAAAAAAAAAAACCCATAAGTGCCCGTAAGTGCTGGTGCAGGTGGCGATATAATAGAGCCCTTGCACACTATGGTTGAAGTGTTAAAAAAAAATAGTCAGAATTATAGAAAAAGAGTAGAATGCCAGGATCTGAGACATAGGGGAAATGGGAATTTGTTGGTCAAAAGTGAATTCTAGGCCCCGGCCGGTTTGGCTCAGCGGTTGGCCTGCAGACCATAGAGTACCGGGATAGGTTCCTGCTAGGGGCACATACCAAAAAAAAAAAAGAAGTGAATTCTGGGCATATAATTAAAGAGCATGATGACTATAGATAATAACGTTATCCTTGAAATGTATTGAGAATAGATCATAAGCATTCCTAGCATAAAAAAAAATAAAGTAACTTTATATGGTGATGGCTATTTAATTAACTTCACTGTAGAAATTATTTCACTACATATATACATATATGTGTGTGTGTGTGTATATATATATATATATATATATATATATATATATAAATCAACACTCTCTATCTCGAAAACACAAGGGGCATAAAAAAAGAAAACAGATCTATACTACACACTACAGGAGAATGTTAGAGAAAAGCCCATGCTTCAGATAAGTAATAAGTGTGACAACACCGGCAACTCCTGGCACAGGTAGGCAGGAGAAAATGACAGCTAAAAGAAAGGATCAAACCCTGGGATATGGTTTGGGATCTGGACACATTATCCCAGACACTAAGAAGGTAAGCACGGTGAATCCATTAAGCTCAATGTAATACTATTGACCTTGGATCCTTTCCTAAAAGGGTTCAGTACTGGGACTGCAGGGGAGAGAAGAGGGCAGTGCAAACAAATCAGACCTAGCACTACAGCAACTACCCAGAAAACTGGGGAAGCAAGCAGTGCCTGTGGTCCAAATCTGAGGACTAAGAGAGAAGTCCGGGTGCAGAAAGTAGAGTCTAATCCAAGTCAGTGTTGAGGCTGTGAGTCTTACCCAGAGAGGATATAAGTGCAAAGTTCTCCAGCATCACATCGTGGTACAGGTGTCTCTGAGCCTCATCAACCAGCCTCCATTCCTCCCGGGAGAAGTACAGGGCAACGTCCTCAAGGGTCACAGTGGCCTATTATAATAGGAACAGAAATAACCATGAACATTCTGTCTCTGAAAACCCACGATCCATCTCCCCACACACCTATCCCATACTCATCCTCCTCCAAAGCTCCCACCTCAGAGGAATTCCATACCTAGGTGCCACTGATGCCCATCCTATCCTCACGGTTCCTTTACTCATGATGTTCAGCCCTCAGCAACACCAGGGAGGAAGGCACAGAGATGCAATCCAATTCTGGTCTTGACTTGTAGGGCCTCATCCATCCTGTCATTAATTCCCCCCGGGTCTCTAGATTTTGACAAGACACAGCCAAGCTTAGGCTCATCCTTCACCCTTCAGTTCGAAACACGAGGGCCCTGCAACCATAACCCACACTTCCTCTCACAATGCACATCACCCCGTACATTGTATCCCTCACACTTACAGTCAGAGGTGGCATTCCCACAGCTAGGCATCTGGGGAGATGCTGTTTTGAAAGGCTCCTCTGTACATCTGGCCCTTGCTTCAATATTTGCTCCCAGGAGTTCATGTGAGTTTGAGTTGCCCATGACCCTCTTCTACTTCCGTGTTGGCCCCTCAGCAGCCACAACGTCCTCTCTCCACTCAACCTTCCTTAAAACTCCAGTCTTGACGGTCTCCATGCCAGGCACAGTGACAGTCAAAAATGACTACATCTGGCTGGCTCTGGCAGGTTTGCCTCAGTGGGTTAGACGGTCAGTCCTCAGACCAAAGGGTCTCGGGTTCATTTCCAATCAAGGGCACCTGCCCCAGGTTGCAGATTCAATCCTGGACCCCAGTCCCATTTGTTTGGGAGGCAACCAATTGATGGGTGTCCCTCACATGGATATGTCGCTCTCCCCTTCCCTCATTTCCACTCTCTCTAAAAATCAATGAAAATATAACCTCCGGTGAGTAACAACAACAACAAAAAATGACCTCATTTGTCCCAGATCTTATCCAACAACAACAACAACAACAAATGACCCCATTTGTCCCAGATCTTATCCAACAACAAATCTGAAAACCTCCCCCACCCCTGAGCCCTGCACAGCACCCCACAGTTCTGGGGAGTCCACGCGTGGCGAACAAGCAGGAGCCTTGTCGCGTCATCGCACGACGCCGCTGCCTCCAGAACCCTCGTGTCCACTCATCCTATGGGAGCCTGGTCACCTGCAGGGCTGTTCGCTCTCCCACCCGGTTACCTTAATCACTTCCCTCCTTCACATGTACGTCTATGCCCAGCAGCCTAATGAAACGTAGGGAAAAAAAACAAAAACAACAAAAACTCCTCATCATGAACTCTACTCTTTCTGACCAACTAGTAATGTGACCCACCGGGGCCTGGGCTGCAGGACGTGACGGGCGCCCGCACCCGGGAGACGCGCTCTCACCTCAGCCGGGCGCCTCGGCGCGGCCGCCGCCATCGGCCTCTGCGGGCGGAGCCGCGAGCGAGGGGACGGCCCCGGTGCGGGTCTCCTGGGCGGCGTCGCGGAGCCTTATACCCGCGACTGTGCAACGGGAGTCCACGACTCTTTCGCGCCTTCTCCGCTTTGTTACCTCAAAACCGACACAGCGCCCCGTCTGCCAGACTACACTCAGACCAACCACCAAATATGGACGCCTGGAGGAGGGTGCCGGAAGTCCCGCCCTTTCACCCTGTGTCATTGCCTCGACTCAGCGCGGGTTCCTCTGGGTAATGTAGTTCCCAGAGCTAAAAGGACAAGGAGTTTTCTCCATCCTGATCAACTACTAGACTGTTTGCCACTGGAGGGATCCAGTGAAGTTTTGCTCCAACCTGAGTGAAGGGCATGCTACCTTGTTAATTACTACAAAAAGAATATGATACTATCTACTTGAAAGTTGCTCTGGCCGGCTTGGCTCACTGGTTAGAGCGTTGGCCTGTGGTCCGGAGTGACCTGGGTTCGGTTCCCGCTAAGGGCACAGCGGGCACGTACCTCGGTTGGTTTGTCCCCGGCCCTGGTTGGTCATGCGGGTGGCAGCCACTCGATGTGTCCCTTTCACAGCGATGTTTCTCTCTCTCTCTCTTCCTCTCTCTCCCTCCCACTCTAACTGTACAAAAAATGGAAAAATGTCCTCAGGTGAGGATAAAAATTAAAAAAAAAGAAAGTAGGTTAAAGGCTTAGTACCATAACACTGCTCCCCCCAACTCAGATACATATTGAAGCATAACTGTGCTTCAGAACAGGCTATTTAAAACAGAAAACTTGCCCTGGCCGGTTTGGCTCAGCGGTTAGAGCGTCGGCCTGCGGTCCAGAGAGACCCGGGTTCGGTTCCCGCTAAGGGCACGTACTTCGGTTGCAGTTTGTCCCCGGCCCTGGTTGGTCATGCGGGTGGCAGCCACTCGATGTGTCCCTTCACGTCGATGTTTCTCTCTCTCTCTCTCCCTTCCTCTCTCTCCCTCCCACTCTATCTGTACAAAAAATGGAAAAGTATCCTCGGGTGAGGATAAAAATAAATAAATAAATAAAACAGAAAACTTGCTCAGCGGTTAGAGCATCTGCTCAAGAACCAGACAGCCCTGGGTTCAGTTCCCATTAAGGGCATGTACCTCCGTACCCCGGGTTGGGGTTGTGCAGGTGGCAACCAGTCGATGTGTCTTTCACATCATGTTTCTCTCTCTCTTCCTCCCTCTCTCCCTCCTGCTCTATCTGAAGATAAATGCAAAAATGTTCTCAGGTGAGAATTTAAAAAAAAAAAGAGAGAGAGAGAGAACCACAGGCTGGCCTTCACTGGGTAGCTCAGTTGGTGAATGCATCCTCCGGACTGCCAAAGTTGCAGGTTTGATCACCCGTCAGGGCACATAAAAGAATTAACCAAAAGAATGTATAAATAAGTGGAACAGCAGCCTCACGGTGTGGTTCAGTGCATGAGCGCTGATCCATGCACCAAGAGGTCACAAGTTCGATTCCGAGTCAGGGCACATGCCCAGGTTGCAGGCTGGATCCCCAGTCGGGGGCATGTGGGAGGCAGCCAATCCATGTTCTCTCTCATGGATGTTTCTGTCTCTCTCCTTTTCCTCTGTCTCTCTAATCAACAAAGAAAAAAAAAAAGTGGGACAACAAATCAATGTTTCTCTCTTCCTAAAATTAATAAAAACATTTTAAAAGAGGAAAACTACAGGCTTAAAATGGTATCATTCATGCTAGAAGCCCATGATACCCAACCTAGTTAAATACCTAAACAATTGCAGTTCAACCTCTCCCAGAAACAGAAACATCATTTTTACTGTTTTCTTCCCAGAAATATAATTTTTCACTCAACAGTAATATTTCTCTGTAATTTGCTCACTCCAATAACATTTAGAGGAAGGGAGTGGGAGAGAGAAACATTGATGAGAGAGAACACCGATTGTTTGCCTCCTGCATGTACCCCACTGGGGATTTGTCTCATAACCTGGGCATGTGCCCTGACAGGGAATCAAACTGGTGACCTCTTGGTGCATGGGTTGAAGCTCAACCACTGAGCCACACCAGCCAGGCAATAAAAAAAATCTTTTAACAAAGAAAGAAACAAAAACCCGTTATGTCCCAATATTTTGGTAAAGTCAGTTTTACCACTATATTGACACCACCATCTCTATCCATGCCTTCTAGGGGTCAGTACTGCCAAAATGGCATCAAATATAGTAATAAATATTTCTGCCTGAGTAAACAGGAATGCAGCCTGCATCAGAATCCCCATCTCTAGACTACAGGTACCCCCTTTTTTCTTTCCTGTTGTGCAATAATGGCTTTGAAGCGGACTTCACTGACAGGCTAAGGGAACCCACAAAACCTTTTGATATTTCTGTATTTTCTGACAATGATGTCAGCTACACAAGATAACAATGCCTGAGGGTCTTGAGATCTGTGTACACTGATCATGCAGTCACTGTCAAGAAAGATTTCTGGATGCACATTTAGAAGAGGCTCATTCCATCTAGTTGGCTGCAGTCTCCTCCAATCACTATTAAGCCAGCATTTCTGAACCTAATAATGGCTTTCCCTGGACCCTGTTTTTCAACCAGTGACCCCAACCCAATGAAGTGTGACAATCAAAACACATGACACTTTGTAGATCTGAGGAAGATACCCCCTCAGTAGTGCTGTTATAATCTACACTATCTGCTTTGGGTAAAGGAAACATCATGCTATTCTCCTAAGTACCTAAGGATCTCATACCTGACCTCTTCTCATGGTCACCTCTAAGACTCCTAAAACTCATAGCATGCAAATGCAAGCACAGAAAGTCCTTCAGTCCTTCCTAGGAGGTTATGGACAGCCATTAAAATTAAGAAAAACAAGCAAGTTATTTTCTGCCTTCATAAAGTTCCTTCACAACAAGAGAACGTTTGAGACCCCTAAAAAGTTGTACACCGCTTCATGTTTGTAGAACCAGAATAAGGTTATGCACTACCCCATACAGTAAAAAGAACAACCAAAATTAAAGGAAATTAAAACAGTAAGACCTCGGTTATGATATAAGTCAAAGCATTGTGCAGCAGGCACTTTCCAAGTTCATGAACTGAAAGCTGGAAAACATCATTAAAAGTATCATATGAGCCCAGCCACTGTGGCTCTGTGGCTGAGCATTGACCCATGCACCAAAGGGTCACTGGTTTCATTCCTGGTCAGGGCACATGGCCAGGTTGTGGGCCCAATACCCAGTGGGGGACATGCAGGAGGTGGTCAATTGATGTTCTCTCTCATTGATGTTTCTATCTCTCTCTCTTCCTCTCTCTCTAGACTCAATAAAGAAAAATATTTAAAGTAATAAAATTAAATTTTTTAAAAAGTATCATATGAGCCTGGCCAGTGTGGCTCAGTGGATTGAGTGCTAGCCCATGGACTGAGGGGTCCTATTTCGATTCCTAGTCAGGGCCCATGCCCAGGATGCAAGCTTGATCCCCAGTAGGAGGAGTGCAGGATGCAACCGATTGGTGTTTCTATCTCTCTTCTGTCTTTCTAAAAAATCAATGAAAACATATCAAAAAATTTTTTTCAACATTAAAGCCCTGGCCGATTTGGTTCAGCGGTTAGAAAGAGTGTTGGCCCACAGACCAGAGAGTCATGGGTTCAATTCCTGGTCAAGGGCAGGTCCAATCCCTACCCTGTCAGGTTCATGTTGGAGACAACTAATCAATGTGTCTCTCTCACATCTATGTTTCTTTCTCTCTCCCTTCCTCCCTCCCACTCTATCTAAAATCAATGGGAAAAGATCCTTGGGTGAGGATCAAAATAGTGAAAAATAAAAATATAAATATCACATGAGCTCTGGCTGTTTAGATCAGTGGTGAGAGCATCGGCCTGCAGACTAAAGGGTCTCGAGTTTGACTCCTGGCAAGGGCATGTACCTGGGTTGCAGGTTCGATCCCCAGACCCCAGTTGCATTCCCACAGCTACACATTTGGGGAGATGCTGCTCTGCTGGTTTTTTTGTTTTTTTTTAATCCTCACCTGAGGACATTTTTCCATTTTTTGTTCAGAAAGAGTGGGAGGGAGAGAGCGGAAGAGAGAAAGAGAGAAACATCGATGTGAAAGGGACACATTGAGTGGTTGCCACCCCCATGACCAACCAGGGCCGGGGACAAACTGCAACCAAGGTACACATCCCTAGCGGGAACTGAACCTGGGTCTCTTTGGACCCTAGGCCAACACTCTAACCGCTAAGCCAAACCCGCAAGGGCGCGAGATGCTGCTTTGAAGACCTCTTCTATCCCGCCTCAAACCCGAGCAGCGTCCTGGCGAGTTTCTTCATCCTGATCTATCATTGGCTCCACGGAGTGCCCAGTCTGCTGTGTAATGTAGTTCACAGAGCTAAGAAGCCACAGGGATGGGAGTTCTCCACCCTGAACAAGTAGAATGTTTGCCGGTGGAAGGATCCTGTGAAGTGATGCTGATACCTGGAGAGAAGAAATTTGCTGTTGTCAGTTGCAGCAAAAACTCAATCTGACATGGTCTACCTGAAGATAGGTTAAAAGGTCACTCCCACAAGACAGCCACCACACTTTGGATAAAAATGGAAAGTCCAGGTGTTACCTGTGCTTCAGAACAGGAGATATATATATATATATATATATATATATATATATATATTCCTCACCTGAGGACACATTTTTGCATTTATCTTCAGATAGATCAGGAGGAGAAGAGAGAGAGAAACATCAACATGAAAGAAACACATTGAGTTGCTGCCACCCACATGACCCCAGGGACAAACTGCAACTGAGGTACGTGCCCCTAGAAGAAACTAAACACAGGACTCTCCAGTCTGCGGGCCGATGCTCTAATCACTTAGCAAACCGGCCAGGACGAAGAAAAACAGGATATTTTAAACAGAAAACCACAGGACCAAACTGGATGAATAGCTCAGTTGGTTAGAGCATTCTCCCAACATACCATGATTGCAGGTTTGATCCCTGATCAGAGCATATACAGGAATGAATCAGCGAATGCATAAATAAGTGAAACAAAAACATCAGTGTTTCTTTCTCTCTCAATATCTTACTATCTCTCAAATTAATAAATAATAACAAAAAAATAAAAAGAAAGGAAAACCACAGGCCACAAATGGCATTACTCATGCCAAAAGTCCATGATACCAAATTTTTTTCCTTATTGTTTTTTTTTCCTTCAAATCTTTATTGTTGGATATAAAATGTATTACAGATGTTCCACATTTTTCCCCCATTGACCCCCTCCTTCCCACTCCCGCCCCCCTCCCACCTTTTCTCACACTATTGTCTGTGTCCATTGGTTATGCATATAAGTTCTTTGGTGTATTTCTCCCCCCCCCCCCGACCCCTTTCCCTTTGAGGTTTGTCAGTCTAGCAATGAATTCTTAATCCCTTCACCTTTTTCACCCATTCTCCCAACCACCCTCCCAACTGGCAACCAACAAAATGTTCTCTGTATCTATGAGAATGTTTCTGTTCTACCTGTTCATTTTGTTTGTAGATTCAATTGTTGATAGATATGTATTTATTGCCATTTTGTTTGTTCATACATTTAATCTTTTTCTTCAAAAAGACCCTTCATCACTTCATATAATAACGGTTTGGTGGTGATGAACTCCTTTAACTTTTTCTTGTCTGGGAAACTCTTTATATGGCCATCGATTCTAAATGACAGCTTTGCAGGATAGAGTAATTTTGGTTGTAGGTTCTTGGTTTTCATCACTCTGAATATTTCTTGCCACTCCCTTCTGGCCTGCAAAGTTTCTTTTGAGAAATCAGCTGACAGCCTAATGGGAACTCCCTTGTAGGTAACTAGCTGCCTTTCTCTTGCTGTTTTTAAGATTCTCTCTTTGTCTTGAACCTTTTGCATTTTGATGGTGATGTGTCTTGGTGTGGGCCTCTTGGGATTCATCTTGTTTGGGACTCTCTGTGCTTCCCGGACTTGTATGTCTGTTTCCTTCACCATGTTAGAAAAGTTTTCTGCCATTATTGTTTCAAACAGGTTTTCGATTTCTTGTTCTCTCTCTTCTCCTTCTGGCACCCCCAAGATGCGAATGTTGGTGTGCTTGAAGTTGTCCCAGAGGCTCCTTACACTATCCTTATTTTTTTGGATTCTTTTTTCTTTTTGCTGTTCTGATTGGGGATTTTTTGCTTCCTTATATTCCAAATCGATGGTTTGCTCCTTGGATTCACATACTCTATTATTGAAGCTGTGTAAATTATTCTTTATTTCAGTTAATGCCTCCTTCAATTCTAACTGTGTATCCATGATTTCTAACTGGTCTTTTTTATGCTCTTGAGGCCCTCACTAAGTTCATTGAGCATCCTTATAAGCAGTATTTTGAACTCAGTATCTGTTAGGTTGCTTATCTCCATTTCGCTTAGTTCTTTTCTTGGGGTTTTGTTCTATTCTTTCATTTGGGACCTGTTTCTTTGTTTCCTCATTTTGGCTGCCTCCCTGTGTTTGTTTCAGTGTATTACTTAATGAGAGGTATGGGGCTAGCTGAGACCAGATGCTGCTCGTTTGAAAGAATTTAGGAAAAACCTGAAGCCGGATCCAAGACCGGCCAATCCTATGGTTAAGAAAGTGGCAACAGCTTGGGTGGGCTTGAAAGTTGGGTGGGGTGGGACGGGGCCTCAGGGAGTCAGCAGGGCGGGGCTACCAGTGTGAGCCAGGTTGCTGGAGTCCCAGATATGGCTTCTGTCAGCCGCCCCCGGGAAGGGCTCACCAAAGGAACAAAGGCCTCTTACGGCACGTTTGTCCCCGAGAAAGCCCCCTCGCCAGCCCTCGCTCCAGAGCCAAACAGCTCAGTTCTTCCCTGGATGTCTCTGGTGCCCCTTGAGCTGCCTCCCCTCCAAGCTTAGAGGGAGAGAGTCCGATAAGTCCGTGGGCAGGCCCTTTAGGGAGCTGCCTGGGGCTCCAACCGCTCCGCTGGTTTTTCCAGCCAGAAGTTATGGGGACTTCTCTTCCTGGCACTGGAACCCTGAGCGGGGCACCTGGTATGGGACGGGGACCCCTCAGTCCTTAGGAAGGACCTTCCCAGCCGTGGGAGCCTCCTGATTTTTATCCGCCACACTTTGGTGTGAGACCAGCCAGTCATGCCACCATGGCGCCACCGCCGCCGCCACCGCTGCCCCTCGCGCCACCGCCCCTCATACCAGTCTGGATGTGGCTGCTGATTTAATTTCGTAGTTGTAGGACTTCCATTCAGCTTGATTTCAGGCGGTTTTGAATGACGGTTGTTCTGTAGTTTAGTTGTAACTTTGATGTGGTTGTGGGAGGATGCGATACCGCGTTTACCTACGCCGCCATCTTGACCGGAAGTCTCCTCCTCTTATTATTTTATTTTATTTATTTTTCTAGCAACATCTTTTTTAAAAATCCACATTAATACTTTTCTGTAGTTTGCTCACTCCATAACACGTTTACAGAAATATTCTCCAGTCCCCCCAAAAAACTGACACTGCATATGCTATTTATTTTTCAGCAAGGACATTAGATGGTTGAATCCAAACCTTTATCTCAGGTTTACATGAGCATGCCCCACACCTTCCTGGAGGTTAAAAGTGTAGCATCTAACACCCCACCAGTGTTCCTCAGTGGATAGGGCATCACTCCTTTGACTGGGAGGTCCTGCTTCAATTCACTCTCAGGGTACATGCCTGGTTGCCCACTGGATCCCTAGTAGGGAGCTGTGCAAAAGGCAGCTGATCCATGTTTCTCTCTCACATCAATGTTTCTCTTTCTCTCTTCCTCCCTCTTGCTCTATCTGAAGATAAATGCAAAAATGTCCTTGGGTGAGGATAAAAATAAATAAATAGCCCTGGCCGGTTTGGCTCAGTGGTTGGAGCGTCGGCCTGCGGTACAGAGAGACCCGGGTTCGGTTCCCGCTAAGGCACGTACCTCAGGTTGCAGTTTGTCCCCGGCCCTGGTTGGTTGTCTGGGTGGCAGCCACTCAGTGTCCCTTCACGTCGATGTTTCTCTCTCTCTCTCTCCCTCTCTCTCCCTCCCGCTCTATCTGAACAAAAAATGGAAAAATGTCCTCGAGTGAGGATAAAATAAATAAATAAAAACATATTTTATTCTTTTACTTTACTTTTTTTATCCTCACCCGAGGACATTTTTTGCATTTATCATCAGATTCAGCGGAAGACAGAGAGGAAGGGAGAGAGAGAAACATCAACGTGAGAGAGACACATGGAGTAGTCACCACCCACACCACCCCAACCAGGTAGGGACAAACTGCAACGGAGGTACGTGCCCTCAGCAGGAACCGAACTCAGGACTCTCGGGTCAGCAGACCAACGCTCTAACCGCTGAGCCAAACCAGCCAGGGCAAAAATAAAAACATATTTTAAGAAAAAGAAAGAAAAAGAAAAAAAGAAAATCAGTAACAGAAGGGCTTTCCCGCCTCCGCGCTAATTCAAGCTTGGGAACTACATTACCCAGAGGACCGTGCGGCGTGTTGAACCAATGAGAGATCAGGAGGTAAGGTTTTCTGTAACATGACACCACGGGGGCAAGACATCCAGCGTCCTCTGCAGGCATTTTTTCAGCTTCCCGGGATCAGTCCGGAGAGGAGTGACAGAACCGAGAAGGCACTGAGGAGTCGTTTCTGCTGCAAAGACGTGGGTCGGAGGCTTGGCAGGCCACCCAGGTGACCCGCGCCCGAACCGGGACAAGGACCGCTGAGCCGGGCCCCTCCTCGCTCCTCACCCGCCCGCGCCGCCCGCAGAGTCCGATGGCGGCGGCCGCGCTGAGGCGCCCGGCTGAGGTGAGAGCGCGCGTCCCCGGCCTCCCCGCCTCCCCGCCTCCCCGCCCCGAGCCCTGCAGCCCGGGTGCGGGCGCCCGTCACGTCCTGCAGCCCAGGCCCGGCGTGCGGTCCGAGAGGAAGGCTGAGTGCGGAGAAGAGGGCTGTGGCTTCCGAGGGGACAGCGAGTCCAGGCGGAGGGAAAGGGTTATTCGTATCTGATAGTCGTGTCCTTCTGGGTTCCTCGAAGAGCAGAGGCCGGCAGGGAGGACGTCAGACTTCATTCGGGGCCTTCCCTGGCTGTGGGGTCCATCGGAGGGCCGGGGTTGTGGCTGGTGGTGTTTGAATTTGTCAGCACCCTGTGGGCGAGTAGGGAGAGATGTCTGTGATGTGGGGCAGGGAGGAGGCCGATCTGTGAGAGTGGAACTGTGGGGACTGAAGGGTTAGACAGGTAGCGGGTACGGAATGGTGAGCACATGGGTAGGTGTGAGCTGATGGCCCCGAGGCCCTGGTGTGGGGACCAAGCAAAGCAGGAGCCACCTTGGGCTGTGTCTAGCAGGTACAGCCTGGGAGACCCCAGGGGAGTGGTTTTGCAGGAGGGATGGGCCCCCCCAATGGCCTACAACTTGGAAGGCCTCTATGTGTCCCTACTGCCTGGTGCTGAGGGCTGAACACAGTCATTAGGGGCCCCTGAAAAGTAAGCAGACATCAGTGTCAGCAGGGTCTGGGGTCTCCTCTGCCATAGGGAGCCCTGGAGTAGGGTGAGTAATGGGTGGATGTGTGAACTGATGGACTGAGAGGTTCTCAGAAAAATAAAGTTTATAGTTTCTTCTGTCCCCTTCTTGACAGGATTATGTGACCTTTGATGATGTTGCTGTGTACTTCTCCTGGGAGGAATGGAGGCTCCTTGATGAGGCCCAAAGACACCTGTACCATGATGTGATGCTGGAGAATTTTGCACTTACATCCTCTCTGGGTAAGATTCTCACAGTCTCACCAGTGAGACTAAGCTCTTCCCTGCCTCATGCTCCTTTTCCCAGGGGTGCTCTGTCCTTCTCACATGTGGACCATAGGCACTGCTTCCTTCTCTAGTTTGCCATGTTTCCAGGGTGGGTCCTTTGCACCACCCCAGTACCTGCTACATTGAACTATCCTCATAGGGAAGGGTTGCAGTGTGTCTAATGCCTTCTACCGTGCTTGCTCCATCCCTGGCCAGGTCAGTGTGTCTGAATCCACGGTATTTCTTTTGATGCCTTCCTTTAGCTGACATTTCTTAGGGCCTATCTGTGCTAGGAATTGCAATCATGTCATGGTCAGTTTACTTAGGGAGAGGTATGGGTCATGCTGAGCACTGATGATGCTTTTATGAGAAATTGTAGGAAAATCTGAAGCATGAGCCAACACTGGTTATTTGTATGGAAAAGCCACTGCAAACAGATTGGGTGGCCCTGAAAGCCTCAGGGAATCACAAGGTCAAGGCAAACTTTCTGAGCCAGGTTGTTGGAATCTCAGATAACAAGTCCACCAGCTGTCTCTGTGCGGGAAGAATTCAGAAGAAACCACAATAATGGTCCCTGTCAGCACTTCTATCTGGGAGAAAGCTGCCCCCTAGCTCTCCTCCTGATACTGGACTCCCTGTATGATTCTGGTGCCCTTTGAGCTGCTGGCTCAGCAACCGAGCCTAAAGGAAGTAAGTCCATGCCAGGACCTTTTTTAAAAAAAATTTTTTCAGATAGGGAGGGAGAGAGAAAAACATCAACGTGAGAGAGACACATCGAGTGGCTGCCACCCACATGACGCCAACTGGGGCTGGGGACAAACTGCATCCGAGGTACATGCCCTTAGTGGGAATCGAACCTGCGACTCTCTGGTCCGTGGGCTGATGCTCTAACCACTGAGCAAAACTGGCCAGGGCAATGCCAGGACCTTTTAAGAGGAACTTCCAGGGACTCCTCAATCCCTGCTGGTTTTTACATCCAGAAGTTATGGGGACTTCTTTTGCTGGCACTGAAACCCTGGGCTGGGGGTCTGCTACAGGGTTGGCACCCCTTGCTTCTCAGGGGGTACTTCCTTGGCCTAAATATGCCTCCCAGTTTTTAACCACCTCACATGGGTGTGGGACTGGCCCATCCAGGGTGTCCACCCCTTTGTTGTACCAGTCTCCATTGACTTTTTTATGAATCCTCATCCAAGGACATGTTTCCATTGATTTTTAGATAGAATGGAAGGGAGGGAGAAAGAAAGAGGAAGAGAGAGAGGGGAAAAACAATGTTGATGTGAAAGACAGATACCTTCATTGGTTTCCTACCGCAGGACCACAACTGGGGCCATGGATCGAACCTGAAACCCAGATACTTGCTCTTTACCTGGAATCAAACCTGCTATTTTTTGGTGTGTGGACTTTCCTTCCAACCAGTGAGCCATACCAGCCCACAGCTTCAGTGAGACTTTTGAAATAAATTTCAAGAGAAACAACAAAGCTATTTGCTAGTATAAGTAACTAAGATAGTCAATCTTGTCATCATCCGAAATCTGCAAATGTGGAGATCTCTCAATTTTACAAAAGATTTTCGTTCCAAATCACATCCCTTTTCAGCTTCCCTGAGGAATAATGGCCAGCTTATGATTCTGACTTTCAATGTTCGAAATGATTGCACTTCAATGTATTAATTCGATGCTTTTCAACCTTTCTCATCTCATGGCACACGTTAACTAATTACTAACATTCTAAGGCACACCAAAAATATTTTATTTTTGTTGATATGACCAAAAAAATAGTTATAATAGGTTTGATATAATCTAAATTAGAACATAGCTATCTTTTTTTACACCCTGTTCTTTTGTCCTTTCTTTGGTGATCACTCTACCATTTGTTCTTTTGCCTTAGAGATATAGCAATGCCCAGAAACAACTTCTCCAACTAGGTTTTAACTCTGTTCATTATAAAGCATCCCATGAACTGACAAGTGTGGCTAACTGGTTGAGCGTGGACCCATGCACCAAGAGGTCACCGGTTCAATTCCTGGTCAGGACACATGCCTAGGTTGTGTGTCCAATTACCAGTTGGGGCATGCAGAAGGCTGCCAATCAGTGTTTTCTCTCATTGATGTTTCTATCTCTCTCAAATCAATAAAGAAAAATATTTAAAAACAGAAAAACCATCACATGTGACACATGCACATTTGTGGTTCTGTTCCTCCATTCTTAGAGCCAACATGTACTTTATCAGCATTTATTTGCATTCAGGTTGCTGCCATGGAGCAGAGGTTGCAGAGGCACCCTTGGAATGGAGTGTTTCTATAGGAGTGTCACAGGCCAGCTCCTTCAAGGCAGCTCTGTCTTCCCAGAAGATCCACTTCTGTGAGACTTGTGGTCCAGTCTTGAGAGACATATTCCATTTGGCTGAGCCCCAGGGAACACCACACACGCAGAAAGTGTGCAGGTGTGGGGTATGTATGAAACAATTTCATTTTAGAGCAAACATCCAAAAACACCAGAAAAAGAGAAAAACATGTCTCACCCTGGGAGAATGTAAGAAATTGTTCAGACCCAGATGCGCACGTACTGAGGACCAAGGTGTTCACAGTGGAAGACAGTATTGTATGTGCCGTGAATGTGGGAAAGCATTCAGGTATCAGTCTTCGTTAGAAGTTCACCACAGAGTGCACACTGGTAAAAGGCGTCATGTGTGTGGCAAATGCGGCAAGACTTTCAGGCGAACCTCAACCCTCAATCAGCATCGAAGAATTCATTGTGGGGCAAGGCAGTATAAGTGCGGCAAATGTGGGAAGACCTTTAACCATACATTTGTCCACATTTATCCCTGGAGAACTCATACTGCTAAAAAATGTGACTTATGCCGTGAATGTGTGCAGTCTTTGAGACGTAGATCCATTCTTATACGACAACGGACAGTTCACTCTGGAGAAAGGCGTTATGAGTGCACACGGTGTGGGAAATCCTTTAGAAGAAAATTTTACCTCATTCTACATTGGAGAGTGCACACTGGAGAAAGGCCTTATGAATGCAGTGAGTGTGGGAAAACTTTTACCCGTAGTTCAGTACTCATTTTACACCAGAGAGTACATACAGGAGAAAGGCCTTTTGAGTGTAGTAAATGTAGGAAATCCTTTACCAGTAGTTCGATACTCATTCTACACCGGAGAGTACACACAGGAAAAAGGCCTTATGAGTGCACTGAATGTTGGAAATCCTTTAGCCAACAATCTTACCTCACTCAACACCAGATGGTTCACAGTGGAAGAAAGTCTTTCGAATGTAGCGAATGTGGGAAATCCTTTACTTCTCACAGTGGCCTCCGTTACCATCTGAGAGTTCACACTGGAAAAAGGCCTTATCAGTGCAGTGAATGTGGGAAATCTTTTACGTCTCGCAATGGTCTTCATTACCATCTGAGAGTTCACACTGGAAAAAGGCCTTATCAATGCAGTAAATGTGGGAAATCTTTCTTATGTGGTTCCTACCTCAGTATTCATCAGAGAGTACACACTGGAGAAAGACCTTATCAGTGCAATGAATGTGGGAAATCGTTTCTCCGAAGACATCACCTTCTTACACACCAGAGAGTTCACACAGGAGAAAGGCCTTATCACTGCAGTGAATGTGGGAAATCTTTTACATCTGGTTACAACCTGAGTAATCATCAGAGAGTACATACAAAAGAAAGACCTTATCCGTGCAGTGAATGTGGGAAATCCTTTATGCTAAGACAGCACCTTCTTGTACACCAGAGAGTTCACGCAGGTCAAACACCTTATAAGTGTAGTGAATGTGAAAAATCTTATTGTTCAAAGTTCAATCTCATTCAACATCAAAGAGTTCACACCGGAGAAAAACCGTATCAGTGCTGTGAATGTGGGAAATGTTTTACCTCTAGCTCTGTCTTTAATTACCATAAGAAAGTTCACACTGGAGAAAGGCCTTATCAGTGCAGTGAATGTGGGAAATCTTTTTTGTCAAGTTCAAACCTCAGCACTCATCAGAGAGTACATACAGGAGAAAGACCTTATAAGTGCAGTGAATGTGGGAAATCCTTTTTCCGAAGATATCACCTTCGCACACACCAGAGAGTTCACACAGGAGAAAGGCATCAGTGCAATGAATGTGGGAAATCTTTTGCATCTGGTTTTAATCTCAGAAATCATCAGAGAGTTCATACAGGAGAAAAGCCTTATGAGTGTAGTGTATGTGGGATATCTTTTACCACTAGGAGGAAACTTCGTTATCATCAGGGAGTTCACAGTAGAGACGGACCTCATGAGTGCCGTGAATGTGGGAAATCTTTTACCTCTTATTATGCCTTTCGTGATCATCAGAGACTTCATACAAGAAAAAAATCTTATGAATGTACTGAATGTGGGAAATCCTTTAGAGCAAATTCTCACCTCATTGAACACTGGAGAGTTCACACTGGAGAAAAGCCTCATCAATGTAGAGAATGTGGGAAATCTTTTTCATCTGGCTCCGGCCTCCGTTATCATCAGAGTGTTCATACTGGGTTAAGGCCTTATGAGTGTAGTGAATGTGAGAAATCTTTTCTCAAGAGCTCAACACTCATTCGACATCAAAGAAGTCACACAGGAGAAAGGCCTTATGCGTGCAGTGAATGTGGGAAATCCTTTATACAGAAGCATCACCTTCTTGTGCACCAACGACTTCACACAAGATAAAGGCCTTATGATTACAGTCAATGTGGGGAAAACTTTAAGGATAGTTCCCAGTTCTGTTAATATGGAGAGATCACACTGGAGGTAGGCATTTGAGTGTAAAAATGTGGGAAAAATTTTTAGCTATCTTACCTTTCTTAACACCTGTGTCTTCATATTGGAAAAAGGTCTTATAAGTGTAGTGAATGTGTGAAACCTGTATCTACTGAGTTTGTTATTACCTGAGAGTTCGCATAGGACCCTGTCTATGTGGTGTAGCAAATGTGAAAAATCTTTCACCCATAGCTTGATGACATTTGCCACCAGAGTGTTCACCCAAGAAAAGGCCTTTTCAGTTCACAGAATGTGGGAAACTTTTTTCCCAAGAACTTACCTTATTCTAGAGTATGAAATTTACAATGGAGAAAGACCTTATATGTGTAAAGGAATGTGCAATTTACTTGGTCAGTATAATGTCAGTGAAGGAAGTCATGAGAAGACATCTGTTTGAATTCACTCTCATATTTTCACTTACTGGGAGATTCACCTTAGGTTTCAGCTGTGTGAGAACGATGTGTATCTGTGTTGCACTTTCTATCCTGCCTGGGGCTCTTTGCCATTTTCTGCTGTCAAAGTCATTTCACTCTTTCCCATGGTATGTTCCCACCCTGTGTGTCCATTTCCATCCTAATGTGCTCAGGAAAGCCAGCTTCTTTTTTTTTTTTTTTAAATCCTCACCTGAGGATATTTTTCCTTTTTTTGTTCAGATAGAGTGGGAGGGAGAGAGAGGAAGAGAGAGAGCGAGCGAAACATCGACGTGAAAGGGACACATCGAGTGGCTGCCACCCGCATGACCAACCAGGGCCGGGGACAAACTGCAACCGAGGTATATGCCCTTAGTGGGAACCAAACCTGGGTCTCTCTGAACCGCAGGCCAACGCTCTAACCGCTGAGCCACACAGGCCAGGGCAGGAAAGCCAACTTCTGTTGTCTCACGTATTGGAGAAAATTAGGAGTAACCTGATCTCTTTGCAATTCACATCGGGCACGAACCCAACCCATTTTTGGCTCAGAAGATATTACATGAGTCCAGCTGGAGGGCCAATGTTTTCCCATAATTATTTTAAAATATGTTTTTATTGATTTTTTTTTAATTCCTCACCCGAGGATATTTTTCTATTTATCATTAAACAGAGTGGGAGGGAGGGAGGGGGAGAGAGAGAGAGAAAGAAAGAAACATTGATGTGATAGAGACACATCAACTGGTTGCCTCCCACACAACTGAACCTGGGCTGGGGAAAAACCACAACAGAGGTATGTGCCCTTGACCAGAATCAAACCTGCGACTCATTGGTCCTCAGGTGACGCTCTAACCGCTGAACCAAACTGGCCAGGGTGGTTTTTATTGATTTTTGGAGAGAGAAACATCATTAAGAGAAAAGAACCATCAATCGGCTGCCTCCTGTACCCACCCCCTACTGGGAAATGATGCCCTAACCCAAGCATGTGCCCTCACTGGGAATTGAACCTGGAACTTTCAGTCCATGGGACAACTTTCAATCCACTGAGCCACACCAGCCGGGCTCCCATGAATTTTTCAGCTTTCAAGTCACCTACCAGAACTGTTTGCTGCACATTGCTTTGGTTTGTACAATGCCATTTAAGTTTGTACTCTTTCATTTTTAGTGTTCTATTAATGTGTATAATGTTTTATAAACAGATTTGGCTCTACAGTTGTGAAGGGTGCACATTTTTTTTCTTCTTTTTAAATCTTTATTGTTGAATGTATTACAGATGTTCCTCATTTTTCCCCCACTGACCCCCTCCTCCCCACTCCCGCCCCCCTCCTGCCTTTTCCCACACTGTTGTCTGTGCCCACTGGTTATGCATATGAGTTCTTTGGTTTATTTCTTCCCACCTCAAACCCCCTTCTGTTTGAGGTTTGTCAGTCTAGCAACCAATTTGTTCTTCCTAATCTCTTCACCTTTTTCACCCATTCCCCCAATCCCCCTCCATTTGGCAACCAACAAAATGTTCTCTGTATCTATGAGAATGTTTCTGTTCTGCCTGTTCATTTTGTTTGTAGATTCCATTGTTGATAGATATGTATTTATTGCCATTTTGTTTGTTCATATTTTTTATCTTTTTCTTCAAAAAGACCCTTCAACATTTCATATAATAACAGTTTGGTGGTGATGAACTCCTTTAACTTTTCCTTGTTTGGGAAACTCTTTATATGGCCATCGATTCTAAATGACAGCTTTTCAGTATAGAGTAATCTTGGTTGTAGGTTCTTGCTTTTCATCACTCTGAATATTTCTTGCCACTCCCTTCTGGCCTGCAAAGTTTCTTCCTGGCACTGGAAATCAGCTGACAGTCTTATGGGAACTCCCTTGTAGGTAACTAACTGCTTTTCTCTTACTGCTTTTAAGATTTTCCCTTTGTCTTGAACCTTTTGCATTTTGATGATGATGTGTCTTGGTTGGGCCTCTTGGGGTTCATCTTGTTTGGGACTCTCTGTGCTTCCTGGACTTGTATGTCTGTTTCCTTCACCAAGTTAGGGAAGTTTTTTGCCATTATTGTTTCAAATAGGTTTTCGACTTCTTGTTCTCTTTCTTCTCATTCTGGCACCCCCAAGATGCGAATGTTGGCATGCTTGAAGTTGTCCCAGAGGCTCCTTACACTATTCTCATTTTGTTGGATTCTTTTTTCTTTTTGCTGTTCTGATTGGGTATTTTTTGCTACCTTATATTCCAAATCGACGGTTTGCTTCTTGGCTTTACCTAGTCTACTAATGAATCTGTGTAAATTATTTTTTATTTCAGTCCGTGCCTCCTTCATTTCTGACTGCATCTTTCATTTCTGACTGCTCCTTTTTTATGCTATTGAGTACCTTATTAAGTTCGCTGAGGTTCTCACTAAGTTTATTGAGCATTGTTATAAGCAGTATTTTGAACTCAGCATCTGTTAGGTTGCTTATCTCCATTTTACTTAGGTCTTTTCCTGGAGATTTTTTTCTGTTCTTTCATTTGGGACCTGTTTCTTTGTCTCCTCATTTTGGCTGCCTCCCTGTGTTTGTTTCTGTGTATTACTTAACGAGAGGTATGGGGCTAGCTGAGACCAGATGCTGCTTATTTGAAAGAATTTAGGAAAACCTGAAGCAGGATCCAAGACAGGCCAATCCTATGGTAAAGCAACTGGCAACAGCTTGGATGGGCCTGAAAGTTGGGTGGGGCGGGGCAACCAGTGTGAGCCAGGTTGCTGGAGTCTCAGATATGGCGGCTGTCTGCCGTCTCAGGGAAGGGCTCACCAAAGAAACAAAGGCCTCTGACAGCATGTCTGTCCCGGAGAAAGCCCCCTCTCCAGCCCTCGCTCCAATGCCAAACAGCTCAGTTCTTCCCCATATATCTCTGGTGCCTTTCAAGCTGCCTCCCCCACACAGGAGACTGGAGGGTGCGAGTCCAAGTAAGTTCGTGTGCAGGCCCTTTAAGAGGAGCTGCCTGGGGCTCCAACTGTCTCAGCCTCCCTGAGCCTCAGTTCACACTGGTTTTTCCAGCCAGAAGTTATGGGGACTTCTCTTCCTGGCACTGGAACCCTGAGTGGGGCACCTGGTGTGGGACAGGGACCTCCTCAGTCCTCAGGGAGGACCTTCCCAGCCGAGATGTCCTCCTGATTTTTATTAGCCACATGTGGGTCTGGGACCAGCCCGTCTGCCTCCGCCCTCCCACCAGTCTCCATGTGGCTGCTTCTTTAATTCTGTAGTTGTAGGACTTCCATTCAGCTTGATTTCAGGCGGCTTTGAATGATGGTTGTTCTGTAGTTTAGTTGTAACTTTGATGTGGTTGTGGGAGGACGCAATCCCTCATTTACCTACGCCGCCATCTTGACCGGAAGTTGAAGGGCGAACATTTTTATGGTTATATCTAACTTTGTGTTCTTCATGGGGACAGTATAATTTGCATTCCTGCCAGTGACCTTCCAGGAAAGAGTGTGAGGCTTTCTGTTCCTCATTTGAAACCTGGATTACTATGAGTTTAGGAGATTCAGAAATCATGCTGAGGAGGGATCAGATGTGACATTTTCAAGAACTTCTTGGAAAAGCATAATTTTTTCCTTTGTTTCTAGGAGCTAATCTCAGGGGACGTTGAGGGAAATCTGTTTCCTAGGTCCTGCAAAGAACCATGTGTCCTGATATTCACAATTCCATGGGTTATGGTCACTGGTTATAAGACCACAGAGGTTAGGTTAGGGGAGACCACAGCTGCTGTTGAAACAACACTAGATTAGTAGGAATTGGAGGAGACTGAGGAAACTCGATGAAATGTCCTTATGAAAGTGAATCCACAAATGTTTCTGGAACAGTGATTATGTAGGATCAGTGTGTCCACAAATCTCAGGATCTCCAGGCTTGTTTATCTTGTGTAGCTGAAGTCTTTCTCAGAGAAATAAAAGCTTTGTGTACTCTTTTTTTTTTTTTTTAAATTTACACATATCATCTCATTTAATCCTCATAGCACTTTTTTTTTTAATCCTCACCCAAGGACATTTTTAAATTTATCTTCAGATAGAGCAGGAGGGAAAGTGGGAGAAAGAGAGAGAAACATCAATGTGAGAGAGACACACCGAGTGGTTGCCACCCACATAACCCTAACCAGGGCCGGGGACAAACTGCAACCAAAGTACATGCCCTTAGCAGGAACCGAACCCGGGACTCGTTGGTCCAAGGGCCCACACTCTGTCGCTGAGCCAAACCGGCCAGGGCGCTTTGTGTACTCTTGTGATGATCACCTCAAGGACATTGTTGCACAGGCATGGAAACAAAGATAAAGGAAAGTAGTCCAGGGATGTGGCTCTTGTGACCCAGTCAACAGTCTTTTTGACTGAAGTAGAAATGTCCTTTATTAGTAGCCAGTACTTTCTGCCACTAAAGCAAGACTGACCCTCAGATGGCAATGGGAGAAACATGGTGGGGTCAACGTAAAGTGTTTGCCAAACCTGTTTCTTAAAAAGAGTGTGACATACAGATGTTTAAAATCTTGAGCCATTATTTAAAGCTTTATTGAGGTATAATTTATATGTAATAAACTGCACATATTTAAAGTGTAATATTTGATCAATTTTGACATACATGTGAAATTGAAATCATCATTGCATTTATGGTAATAACTTAATATGCTCTGTATTTTTGCCTCATTTCCATTTCTCTACCTGACCTTTATAGGCCTCCAAATAACTTGTTTTACTTCCCCTTAGTATAGATACCTTTGTATTTCCTATAGTTTATATGACGGGAATTATTAAATGTTTACTTTTTTTCTGGTTTCCTTTATGTTGGATTATTGCTTAGAGATTTATCTATGCTATAAGTAGTTCAGTGCCCCCCCCCCCATCATTGTATTTACCACAGTGGGTTTATCCCTTTATTTCTTTATGGATATTTGGGTAATTTCCATTTTTAAAAAATGTTTCTATTGATTTTGGAGAGAGTGGAAGGGAGAGTGAGAGAAAAACATCGATGTTAGAGTGATATAGTGATTGGCTGCCCCCTCCAATTCTCCCACTGGGAATCGAACCAGAAACCTTTTGTTGCACAGGAAGATGCCCAGCCAACTGAGCCACACTGGCCAGGGCTTATTCCACTTTTTTTTTTTTTTTTTAATTTTTTATCTTTATTGATTTTAGAGAGAGGAAGGGAGAGGGGGAGAGAAATCATCAATGAGAGAGAACAGCGATTGGCCACCTCCTTCATGCCTCCCACTGGGGATCAAGCCCACAACCTGAGCATGTGCCCTGACCGGGAATCAAACTGGCATGAGTTGAACTCTTGGTGCATGAGTTGATGCTCAACCACTGAGCCACACTGTCCGGGCTTGTTCCACTTCTTTATTCATTGGTTGATTCTTTTTTTTTTTATCCTCACCCAAGGACACTTTTCCATATTTTGATCAGATAGAGTGGGAAGGAGAGAGAGAGAAACATCGACGTGAAAGGGACACATAGAGTGGTTGCCACCCACACGACCCAATCAGGGACAGGGACAAACTGCAGCCGAGGTATGTGCCCTTAGCGGAAACCGAACCTGGGTCCCTCTGGACCTCAGGCCGATGCTCTAACCGCTGAGCCAAACTGGCCAGGGCAATTCTTTTACGTGCCTTAACTGGGCATTGAGCCCACAACCTTGGCATATTGGGAAGACTCTCTAACCAACAGAACTCCCTGGCAAGGCCTCTTGATTATTTTCAAAAACTTTGTGCTGTGCCCAGTGTAATGGAAACATACACCATACACTTTTAAGATTAATCTGCATTATTAATGTATTCTCCGTCTTTATCTTAAGCTTCTGACATTCAGTAAGACAATGATGCCTTGCTTTGTAGTGTTTGCTCATTGTCCTGATTTGTCATTGGTAGATTGGACCAGATGGGGGACCAGGTGGCATCAGAATGGTCCAGGCATTTAAAGCCTGCTGTGGAGGAAAAGAGGACAACAGTGATGAGACTAAAAGTGACCTGAATTTGAATCTTAGATCTCCAACTACCACTTATTTATGCGGTCATTGGTTGTTTCCTGTATGTGCCATGAATCTTAGGTGACCTGTCCACAGGAATCACAGGAAGCGATGGAAGTTCTCTTACTCTGCATCTATACCACCTGAAATTGTCTCAAAACACTGATTCTTAGGCCCTGCCTTCAGAGTAAGTCCACAGGTTTTGGTTTGGGACGGAGAAATAGCATTTCTGATGAGTCCCCAGGTGGTGCTGATAGACAGGGCCCGTGTAGACATGAAACCTTGAGCAGTTTCCTGGGGAATGCCATGTGCTTCCCTCCTGTACCAGTCCATGGGGCTGTTGATATGCACATTCAGAGCAGCAGAACTGTGGTTTTTAGTGAACACCCTCTAGTATCTGCAGCGAGCCAAACTGTCTAATGGCAAAATGGGCCCAAGTCTGAGGACCTCCACTTTCAAGGGGTCCTGTGAGGATCCCAGACACTGAAGCCGCTACTTCTTTTTCTTGCAACTGCAATGAAACAAAGAGGCCATTAGAGTGAGGTGGCTCCAATGCCACACAGCCTGCAGGTGCAAACTGAAATACCAATTTCAGAGTAAATTCTTGTAAATGCCTCATTGGTAAGAAATTGAAACCTAAGAACAACCAATTCCAAACAACTAGGCTGTCCCAAGTGAAGCAAGTCCTTAAGCTATAGCCAAATAATTTTCTTGCTTTTCTCCCCTTCTGCTTAAGGAAAGCCTTTCACCTAGTCTAGTTAGGTGCTACGTGCCTAGAATTCACATTTGCTGAAATAAAACCTTCAAATTTTTAATATACTTCCGCGTATCATTAAAAAGAACAGCTTCCTTATCTTGCTGCAAAAGAAAGAATACTCTCGGGGCTCATCCTTGCCAGTGATGCTGTTAGTAAGAAGGCCTTCCTCATTCCATCCCCCTGTTGATGACATGGGTGCTTAAGGTTTGGTCTCTGCCATCAGGTGTGTGATGGTGACTGTTGAGAAATTACAAACAAAATTTTTTGCCAATCCAGAAATCCTCTCTAGGAGGGTAATAGAGAAAGTAACTGTTTTGTTATTAAGTAATCATTAACCAGAAAGTGATGTACCTCATATTCAGTCCACTAAGAAATTCCAAAGGCAGACAAACCTCACCCCCTCTATGTAGCTAAAAAGATAAAACCCATCCTGTGTTTGTATTCAAAACCAACAGTAGTCTTCAAGTGAGAGGACTTAACAGCAGCATTTGTCATGCAGAGTTCATCTTAACTCAGCCTGGTAATTTAGATGACTGCATTAGCTTTGGGCTTTATCCAGAAGAAAGAAACATCTTTATCACAGGAAGTGGTTTTTGAAATTGGAGCAAGCTGAGCACTGAAGTTAGGATCCTCCCCTCACACAGTTGTAAAGGAGACAGGGGAGCTATCTCTCTTGATGTTTGCATTTCAAAAAAATGTCTCTCAGTATGTTTCCCATCTTCTTTCAAAAGAAACGGGTTGTAAAGCGAGTGAGGAAAAAAAGAATAGTTGACAAAATAATTGGTTTGTGACCCACAGCAACTCAGCACACATCAGAAAGTAGGAAAAACTTTATAATATTACAAAAAAACAAAATAGTTTTATATATATAATTTTTTTTATTACTCCTCACCCAAGGACATGCTTAGAGAGAGGAAGGGAGACAGAGAGAAACATCTATCAAACAGGAATTGAACTCACAACTCAGGTATGTGCCCTGACCCAGAATCAACCCACAGACCTTTTGGTGCACAGGACAACACTCAACCAACTGAGCCACTCTGTGCTGACCATATCAAATATTTTTATCTCCTGGAAGCAGGCTAAGCTTCACGGAATATGAAATTATGTCTACTTCTGCAGTACACAATTAGCAAAGACTCTCTCAGAAGGTAGAAACACCACTTAAAAAAAGCTTTTTAAAAAACATTATTTTTCAAATACAGTTGACATACAGTTTTATATTAGTTTCAGGTGTACAACCCAGTGATTAGACATTATGTAACTTAGTAATCATCCTGATAAACCACCCATCCAACACCATACATACATATTAGAATATTATTGACTATATTCCCTGTATTGTACTTTACACCTACATGACTATTCTTTTTTTTGGAAAGAAAATTATCGATGCTTAGAGAGAAACAGCAACTGCTTGCATACCACACCACCCTCATCAAGTCGGGGAAACCTGCAACCCAGGTACATGCCCTTGACCAAAGTCTAACCCGCAACTCTTCAGTCTGCTGGCCTATTCTCAAACCGATGAGCCAGACCGGCAGGGCCCCACATGACTATTCTTAATCAATTTGTGCTTTGTACCCTTCACCTTTCTCATCCACTTGTGCAAATCTCATGCCATCTCATAATCTTCAAATTTTTCTCTGTATCTATGAGTGTTTCTAATCTGCTTGTTCATTTATTTTGATTTTTACATTCAACTTTTGATACATACATAGTCGTCTTTAAGAAGAACGAGAAAAGCCCTGTCCGGTGTGCCTTATTTGGTTGCCGTATTGTCCCTTACATAGAAATGTCGCAGGTTCTATTCCAGTCAGGGCACATACCCAGGTAGAGGTTTGGTCCCAGTTAGGGTTGTACCTATGTGAGGCAATCTGTCCTTGTTTCTCTCTCACATGATGTTTCTATTTCTCTCTCTATTTCTCCCTCTCTATAAAATCCATTAAAACATATCCTCAGGTAAGTATTTAAAAAAATATGAACAATAAAATGGTAGGACCGCTATTTTTGCAGGATTCCTCTAGTAGCAAATCTGACAGCAGGCAAGAGAGAATCCCCTCCTTCTAGTCTCTAGAGCCCTGGGAACTACATTTCCCAGGAGTCCGTGCGAGGTGTAGAGCCAATAACAAATGAGGAGGTAGCCATATCCGTGAGATTTTATTACTTGGGGCGGGACATCCGGTGTTCTCTCTCCCGGCATTTTTTCACCTCACCATTATCCTTTGATGCCGGGGTGACAGCAATCGAGAAGACGCAAAGGAGTTTTCGTCCCCGCAGCACAGATGGGACTGAGGCTGGGCGCCATCGCTCCGGTCACCCCCGCCTGGGCAGGGACAGGCACCGCTGTACCCACCGCACGCCGCCCGCAGAGCCCGATGGCGGCGGCCGCGCTGAGGCGCCCGGCTGAGGTGAGAGCGCGTCCCCGGCCTCCCCGCCTCCCCGCCTTGAGCCCTGCAGCCCGGTGCGGGCGCCCGTCACGTCCTGCAGCCCGGGCCCCGCGTGTGGACCGAGAGGAAGGCTGAGTGCGGAGAGGAGGGGGTGGCTTCCGAGGGGACAACGAGTCCAGGCGGAGGGAAAGGGTTATTCGTATCTGAAAGTCCATGTCCTTCTGGGTGCCTCCGAGTGACGCGAAGAGCAGAGGCCGGCAGGGAGGACGTCAGAGCCTCCCTCGGGCCTTCCCTGGCTGTGGGGTCCATCCGAGGGCCGGGGTTGTGGCTGGTGGTGTTTGAATTGGTCAGCACTCTGTGGGTGAGTCGGGAGAGATGTCTGTGATGTGGGGCAGGGAGGAGGCCGATCTGTGAGAGTGGAACTGTGGGGACTGAAGGGTTAGACAGGTAGCGGGTACAGAATGGTGAGCACATGGGTAGGTCGTGTGAGCTGATGGCCCCAAGGCCCTGGTGTGGGGACCAAGCAAAGCAGGAGCCACCTTGGGCTGTGTCTAGCAGGTACAGCCTGGGAGACCCCAGGGGCGTGGCTTTGCAGGAGGGATACCCCTCCCCCCATATGGCCCACCCTTTGGATGAAGTCTGTGTGTCCCCACTGCCTGGTGCTGAGGGCTGAACAGTCATTATGGGACCCTGAGAAGTAAGCAGACATCAGTGTCACCGGGGCCTGGTATCTCCTTGGAGGAGAATGAGCAATGGGAAGATGTGTGAAGTGATGGACTCTGAGGTTCTCAGGAAGACAAAGTTTATGGTTTCCTCTGTCCCTGTCTTGACAGGATCCTGTGACCTTTAATGATGTTGCTGTGTACTTCTCCTGGGAGGAATGGAGGCTCCTTATTGAGTCTCAGAGACGCCTATACCACGATGTGATGCTGGAAAACTTTGCACTTATATCTTCTCTGGGTAAGATTCTCACAGTCTCACCAGTGACTTGGACTAGTCTCTGTCCTGCCTCACCCTCCTTTTCCCAGAGGGTGCTCTGTCCTTCTCACATGTGGACCACAGGCACTGCTTCTTTCTCTAGCTGGCTCTGTTTCTAGGGTGGGTGGTTTGTACCGCCCTCTTCTGTAGCTGCAGCCCCAATACCTGCTGCATTGAACTCTTCTCATAGGGAGGGAATGCAGGGAGCCTAATGCCTTCCACCATGCATGGTCCCTCCCTAGCCAGGTCAGTGTATCTAGATCCACAGTACTTATTTTTAGCTAATACTTAGTACTTCCTTTAGCTAATATTTCCTAGTGCCTGCCTGTGCCTGGAATTGCAGTCATTGTCATTTTCAAGGTCACTTAGTGAGAGGTATGGGGCATGGTGAGGACAGATGTTGCTTCTTTGAGAAATTGTAAGAAAATGTGAAGCAATGGCCAAGACAGATTATTTGTATGGAAAAGCTATTGGGAACTGCTTGGGTGTCCCTGAAAGTTGTATGAGGCACTGCTTCATAGAATCAAAAGGACAAGGCGAACAATGTGAGCCAGGTTGATGGAATCTCAGATAAGGCAACTACTTGCTTGCTCTGTGGGAGAAGAACACAGAAGAAACAACAATATGGACTCTGGCAGCATTTCTGTCTGGGAGAAAGCTGCCCCCTATCTCTCTTCTTGATACTAGACTCCCTGTATGATTCTGGTGCCCTTTGAGCTGCTGCCCCATCAGCCAAGTCTAAAGGGAGTAAGTCCAAGTAAGGCCATGCCAGGGCCTTTAAGAGGAACTTCCAAGGACTCCAGCAGCCCATATTCACTCAGCCTCCTCAATCAACCCCTGCTGGTTTTTACATACAGAAGTTATAGGGACTTCTGTTGCTGGCACTGAAACTCTGGGCTGGGGTCCTGGTGTGTGGCTGACACTCCTTGCTCCTCAGGAGGTACCTCTGTAGCCTAGATATCCCTGCCAGTTTTCATGTACCTATGTGCCACATGTGGATGTGAGACCAGCCCATGGGGTATCTACGCATCTTCTACCTGTCTGGTTGTGGCTTCTTTATTTCTGTACTTGTAGGACTTCTTCAGCCAGATTTCACGTAGTTCTTAATGATAGTTGCAGCTGTAATTTTCATGTGGTTGTGGGAGGAAGCCAGTGCCTTGATTAATGTACACAGTCATCTTGGCCAGAAGCTCCACTGGTTGAGTCTCGTATGTGCCCTGACCAAGGATTGAACCTGCAACCTAGGTGTATCGGGATAAAGCTCTAACAACCTGAGCCACCTGGCCAGGACCTGAATAGATTGTTTTATTATTATTTTGTCTCTTATGACAGGTTTTCAGTTAAAGTCTGTTTTGTCTAGTGTAAGTATAGCTACTTATAAATGTAGGCTACTCTCTTTTGACCTCCCATTGGCATAGATTATTTTCTTATTTCTATGTGTTCAGCCTATTTTTGTGCTTATAGCTGGAGTGAGTCTCTTGCAGACAACATATAGTTTGAACTTGTTTTGTTTTTTTTAATCCTCACCCAATGATAATGTTGTTTCATTGGTTCTAGACTAGAGAGAAGAAGGAGGAGAGGGAGGGAGGGAGAGAAAAACATGGATTTTAAAGTTGCCTCATCACTCGTCCTCATGGGGGATCTATCCCGCAACCCGGGTATATTCCTGGACCAGAAATCGAACCCATGACCCTTCCTTGCATGGGAGTTCATTCTAACAACTGAGCATAGCAATCAGGTGCTCAATTTGTTTTTTTAATCCATTCAGCCAGTATGTATGATTTGATTGAAGAATTTTATCATTACTTGATGATTGCCATCTTGTTAATTTTTGTCTGGATGTTTTATAGTTCCTCTATTCCATTTTTTACTCTCTTGTTATCTTCCCTTGGGATTTGATGATTTTCCATAGTGGTATGCTTTGATTTGTTTACCTATATTTTTGGTTTATCTACTATAGGTTTTTGCTTTGTGATTATTGTGAGTTTTACTAAAACATCTTAGAGTTATAACAATGTGTTTTTTTTTGTTTGTTTTATTTATTTTATTTTATTTATTTTATTTTTAAAGGGAGAGGTAGAGAGAAATAGAAACATTGATAAGAGATAACATTGATTGGCCGCCTCCTGCATGTCCCCCCCTGGGGGCTTGGCCCACAACCTGGGCATGTGCCCTGACTGGAAAGCCAACCGGCGACCTCCCGGTGCATGGTTTGAAGCTCAACCACTGAGCCACACCGGCTGGGCATAACAGTGTATTTTATTCAGATAACCATCAATCACATATAAAAAGTACCATTTTGCCTTGGCTGGTGTGGCTCATTGGTTGGAAGCTGTTCAATGAACTTGCAGTTTGATTTCAAATCCGGGCCCATGCCTGAGTTGCCTGCTAGATTCCTGTTAGGAGGCATGAGGGAGGCAAAGGAACTATGTTTTGCCTTCTCATTGATGTTTCTCTTCCTCTGTCTCTCAAAATCAATTTAAAACAAAATACCCTTTTAGTATCCCATTCCTCTGCATTACGTTTTATAATTATTTTTTTTTCTTCATTTACTAATTTGAGTCAGAGAGTAAGGGAGGCAGAGAGCGAACAACATTGATTTGTGTTTTTCAAGTATCCACGCATTCATTCTCCTGCATGTGCCCTGACTAGGAATCAAACCCACAACCTTGGTATATGGGGACGACAGGCCAACCAACTGAGCTACCCAGTCAGGGCAATGTTGTATTTTTCATGTTATAACTTACATCTTTTTATTGTTTAATTACTATTAAACTATTGTGGCTAGGGTTGTTTCTAATACTCTTGCTTTTTATTTTATCCTAGAGTTAAATGATTAAAAAAGGACCATTTTACAGTATTAGCATATTTGGATTTTTTAAAAATATGTTTTTATTGATATATTTTTTTAATTATATGAGGATTTTTTTTTTTTAATTATGTGAGGGTTTATTTATTTATTTATTTTTGGTGGTACGTGCCCCCGGCAGGAACCGAACTTGGGACACTCTGATCCTCAGGCGGACACTCTGATCCTCAGGCTGAGCCAAACTGGACAGGGCATGAGGATTTTTTTTTTTAAGTTTTTTTTTCCTTGCTGATTTTTAGAGAGAGAGGAAGGGAGAGGGAGAGAGAGATAGAAACATCGATGAGAGAGAACATCAATTGGCCACCTCCTGCATGCCCTCTTTGGGGATTTGGCCCAGAACCTGGGCATGTACCCTGATTGGGAATAGAACCGGCAACCTCTTGGTGCATGGAACAATGCGCAATCCACTGAGCAACACCAGCAGGGCTGTCCTTGTAAAAGTTTCATTATAACGTGTCTCAGTGAAGATCTCTTTGTATTGAATATTTATAGGGTCCTGTGAGTATAATATACCTTGATGTCCACATTTCCCTTTTGATTTGGGAAGTTTTCAGCCATTATTTATTTGGATATGTTTCCTGACCCTTTGTCCTTCACTTCTTTAATGCAAATATTATTTTTCTTGATGACATCCCATAAATTATGTGGAATTATTCCAGCCTTAGGATATTTTTTTATTGACTTTAGAGAGAGAGAAAGAGAGAGGGACAGAGAGACGGAGAGAAACATCAGTGTGAAGGAGCAATATCAATCAGTTGCCTTTGTATTCACCCCAGGATCCAACCTGCAACCTGGGTATGTACCTTCACCAGGAACCAAACCCACCTCTCTCTGGTGCACAGGACTACACTCCAACCAACTGAGCAACACCAGCCAGGGCTTTTCCAGTCTTTTTTCTCCTCTGACTAGATGATTTGAAATGACCCAATGCCAGGTCACAGATTTTTCTCCTGTTTTATTAAGTTGCTGTTGAAGTTCTCTATTGTATTTTTTATTTCACTCTATTATTTTCTCTATAAAGCATTTCAGTTTTTTGTTGTGTTTTTTTTTTTTTTTATCCTCCCCTGAGGACATTTTTGCATTTATCTTCAGATAGAGAAGGGGGAAGAGAGAGAGAAACATCGATGTGAGAGAGACACATCTACTGGTCGCCACCCAAATGACCCCAACCGGGGCCGGGGACAAACTGCAACCAAGGTATGCGCCCCCAACGGGAACTGAACCCGGGATCCTCTGTCTGGTCCATGGGCCAACACTCTGCTGAACCAAACTGGCCAAGGCGCGTTTCAGTTTTTTAATGGGTATCCTTTTTATACTTAAATTTTATTTATTTATTTTTGTTAATCCTTATTTTTAAAGAAATTTTTCCCCCTTTATTGATTTGAGAGAAAGAGGAAAGGGGAGAGAGAGAGAAACATCGATAAAAGAGAACATTGATTGGCCACCCCCTACCTGACCCCACTGGGGATTGGGCCCACAACCTGGGCATGTGCCCTGACCGGGAATTTATTAATTTTTAGATATTGTGGAAGGGGTGGGTGTTGAGAGAGAGAGAGAAAGAGTACTTGATATATTCAATCTGCTTTTCCTGATTTCCCTGAGTTGTTGAGGATCTATGAGAAAATTATTTAGAATCCTTTTTCCAGCACTTTGGTTTTACTTGTTGGAAACTTTGTATGTTCCTTTGGTGATGACATGTTCCTTTAATATTTTGGGATTCCTCATAAACTTTTGTTGGTTTCTCCACATTTGCTGGATCAGCCACACTTCCTGCATTTATGGGCTTATTTTGGTGTGGAAACGTCTTCACCTTAGGTTCACTAAGAGGTCATTAGCTTGCCTGACTGTGGCTGTTTTGACTCTGAGGAGAAACGACCCTTGTAATCATAGTGCAGCTATCAGCTGAGGTCAGGGATGGCTAATGTTGTATGGATTTTTAATAGCCAAGGCTGCATGGTGAACTCACAGGCATGTGGTCATGTTGAAGCTGGGTAGGATGTGCCATCAAGCCAGTGTTCCTGTTGAACCAGGAACATTTTCCATTTAATCAGAGTTTTTTTGTCCTTCCCAATGCCCAACCTTATTACTACTTTCCCTTCTTCACTGTTGCTACTTGACTGACTAGTCCATTCTACTACTTTGTCATTTTTACTCTGACTTCTAGCCCATGGAGAATCTACACCTCTCTGGTCTTCATATCTCTCACATTTCTCTTATCTCTCCCTCTATTGCTTTGCAACATTGGTCTGAACGTGCCATAAGATCATCATGCATTTTGAAATTGGCCTTAATGGCAGCTACCCTGTTGCAATTGTTTTTTCCTCAGTTTGGACATGGGCTTCTAACTTAGCCTTATGTGTCTCTAGCAGAAAAGGTCCTATAGAAATTGTTTTACAGCATGCCTATATATTTATTTTACACCCTACTCATTCTTGCATACTTTCTTTGGTGAGTACTCTACTTTTCTTTTCCTTAGAGGTGTAACAATGTCAAGAAGTAACTTCCTGAACTAAATTTTTTTTTTTATCCTCACCCAAGGACATTTTTTCCATTTTTTGTTCAGATAGAGTGGGAGGGGGAGAGAGAGAGAGAGAGGGAAACATTGACGTGAAAGGGACACATCGAGTGGTTGCCACCCACATGACCCAATCAGGACCGGGGACAAACTGCAACGAAGGTACGTACCCCTAGCCGGAACCAAACCCAGGTCTCTCTGGACCTCAGGCCGATGCTCTAACTGCTGAGCCAAACCAGCCAGGGCCTGAACTGGATTTTAACTTGTTTCACTAAAAAGCATCCCATGGACACATTTTTTTGATGTAACAAATGCACATTTGTGATGGTGTTCCTTCATTCTTAGAACCAGCGTGTACTTCACCAGCATTTATTTGCATTCAGGTTGTTGCCATGGAGCAGAGGATGCAGAGGCACCCTTGGAACGGAGTGTTTCTATAGGAGTGTCACAGGCCAGCTCCTTCAAGGCAGCTCTGTCTTCCCAGAAGATCCACTTCTGTGAGACTTGTGGTCCAGTCTTGAGAGACATATTCCATTTGGCTGTGCCGCAAGGAACACCACACACCCAGAAAGTGTTCAAGTGTGGGGTATGTATGAAACAATTTTATTTTAGAGCAAACATCCAAAAACACCAGAAAAAGAGAAAAACTTGTCTCACCCTTGGAGAATGTAAGAAATCGTTCAGACCCAAATGCGCACATACTGAGGACCAAGGTGTTCACAGTGGAAGACAGTGTTTTATGTGTTGTGAATGTGGGAAAGCATTCAGGTATCAGTCCTCGTTAGAAGTTCACCAGAGAGTGCACACTGGTAAAAGGCGTCATGTGTGTAGCGAATGCGGCAAGACTTTCAGAAGAACCTCAACCCTCAATCAGCATAGAAGAATTCATTGTGGGGCAAGGCAGTACAAGTGCGGCAAATGTGGGAAGACCTTTAACCATACATTTGTCCACATTTATCCCTGGAGAAGTCACACTGGAAAAAAATGTGACTTATGCTGTGAATGTGTGCAGTCTTTTCACCTTAGATCCATCCTTATACGACAACGGACAGTTCACTCTGGAGAAAGGCGTTATGAGTGCACACGGTGTGGGAAATCCTTTAGGAGAAAATTTTACCTCATTGTACATTGGAGGATTCACACTGGAGAAAGGCCTTATGAATGCGGTGACTGTGGGAAAACTTTTACCAGTAGTTCAGTACTTATTCTGCACCGGAGCATACATACAGGAAAAAGGCCTTTTGAGTGTAGTAAATGTAGGAAATCCTTTACCAGTAGTTCGATACTCATTCTACATCAGAGAGTACACACAGGAAAAAGGCCTTATGAGTGCACTGAATGTTGGAAATCCTTTAGCCAACAATCTTACCTCACTCAACACCGGCTAGTTCACAGTGGAAGAAAGTCTTATGAATGCAATGAATGTGAGAAATCTTTTACCTCTCGCTCTGGCCTTCGATACCATCTGAGAGTTCACACTGGAAAAAGGCCTTATCAGTGCAGTGAATGTGGGAAATCTTATACCTATCCCCATGGCCTTCGTTATCATCTTAGAGTTCACACAGGTGAAAGACCTTATCAGTGCAGTGAATGTGGGAAATCTTTTACATCTGGTTTCATCCTCAGTAATCATCAGAGAGTACACAAAAAAGAAAGACCTTATCAGTGCAGTGAATGTGGGAAATCCTTTATCCTAAGACAGCATCTTCTTCTGCACCAAAGATTTCACACAGGTCAAATGCCTTATCAATGTAGTGAATGTGGAAAATCATATAGTTCAAAGTTCAATCTCATTCAACATCAGAGAATTCATACAGGAGAAAGGCCTTATCAGTGTAGTGAATGTGGGAAATCTTTTACCTCTAGCTCCGTCTTTAATTATCATAAGAAAGTTCACACTGGAGAAAGGCCTTATCAGTGCGGTGAATGTGGGAAATCTTTTATATCAAGTTCTAACCTCAATGCTCATCAAAGAGTACACACAGGAGAAAGACCTTATGAATGCATTGACTGTGGGAAATCCTTTTTCCGAAAATATCACCTTCGCACACACCAGAGAGTTCACACAGGAGAACGGCATCAGTGCAATGAATGTGGGAAATCTTTTGCATCTAGTTTTAATCTCAGAAATCATCAAAGAGATCATACAGGAGAAAAGCCTTATGAATGCAGTGTATGTGGGATATCTTTTACCACTAGGAGGAAACTTCGTTATCATCAGGTAGTTCACACTGGAGATGGGCCTTTTGAGTGCCAAGAGTGTGGGAAATCTTTTACTTCTTGTTATGCTCTTCGTGATCATCAGAGGATTCATACCAGCAAAAAGTCTTATGAATGTAGAGAATGTGGGAAATCTTTTTCATCTGGCTCCGGCCTCCGTTATCATCAGAGTGTTCACACTGGGTTAAGGCCTTATGAGTGTAGTGAATGTGAGAAATCTTTTCTCAAGAGCTCAACACTCATTCGACATCAAAGAAGTCACACAGGAGAAAGGCCTTATTTATGCAGTGAATGTGGGAAATCCTTTACACGGAGAAATCACCTTCTTGTACACCAACGAGTTCACTCAAGTTAAAGTCCTTATGAGTACAGTGATGTGGTAAAATCTTTAAGGATAGTTCCCAGTCCAATTAACATAGAGTTCACACTGCCGGCCGTTGTGGCTCAGTGGTTGAGTGTCAACCCATGCACCAAGAGGTTGCTGGTTCGATTCCCAGTCAGGGCACATGCCCAGGTTGTGGACCAAATCCCCAGTGCGGGGAATGCAGGAGGCAGCCAGTCAGTGTTCTTTCTCGATGTTTGTATCTCTCTCTCCCTCTCACTTCCTCTCTAAAATCAATAAAGAAAAAAAAAAAATTAGGCCTGGCCAGTTTGACTCAGCAGTTGGAGCATTGGCCTGTGGACCAGAGAGTCCCGGGATCAGTTTCCACTAGGGGCACATACCAAAAAAAAAAACAAAAAACAAAACAGAGTTCTCATCGGAAATAGGTATTTGAGTGCAAAAATGTGGAAATATTTCAGCTATTAATTCTACCTTTCTAAACCCTTGTGACTTTATATTAGAAAAAGATCTGATAAGTGTAGTGAATGCACAAAATATTTGACCTGTATCTCTGGAGTTTGCTACTATCTGAGAGTTCACACAGGAATAAGTTCTTATGCTATAGTAAATATGAAAACTCTTTTACCCTATAGCTTGACAGTCTTTCTGCTCCAGGGAGTTCACCCAGGAGATGGCATTATGAGTGCACAGAATGTGCGAAATTTTTTTCCCAAGAATTTACTTTATTATACAGTGTGAAATTTACACTGAAGACCTTAGATGTCCAGCCTGTATGGCTCAGTGGATTGAGCATCTTCCCATGGACTGAGAGGTCCTGGTTGGATTCCTGGTGGGGGCACATGCTCAGGTTGCAGGCTCGATCCCCAGTAGGGCGTGTGTAGGAAGCAGACCAATGATGTTTTTCTTTCACATCGATGTTTCTCTCTCTCCCTTTCTCTAAAAAAGTCAATAAAAACATATAAAAAAAAGAAAGACCTTAGATGTGTAAGGGAATGTGCACTTTTCTTGTTTTGTATAATGACACAGGAAGAAACCCTGAGAAGCCATCTGTTTGAATTCAGTTTCATATTTCCAGTTGTCAGTGTTGAGAGAGTCACCTTAAATTTCAGTTATGTGAGAAGCATGTGTGTCTGTGTTGCACAGTTTCTAACCTGCCCAGACCTCTTTGCTATTTTGTGTAATCAAAGCTTGTATTCTATCATATGGCAGGTTCCCACAATTTGTGTCCATTACCATCATAATGTGCTCAGGGATGCTGACTTCTGTTCTCTCACATATTCAAAAAAAATTAGGAGTAACCTGAGCTCTTTAAAGTTTACATTGTACGGGAAACCCAGCACATTGTTGGCTCAAAAAATATCAGAGGTCCAGCAGGAGCACCTTGTTCTCCCATGAATTTATTCAGCTTCCAAGTCACCAACCTGAACTGTGTGTTACAAATAGCTTTGTTTTGTACAGTACCGTTTAAGTCCTTACTGTCTAAGTTCTCTTTCATTTTGGGTGTTCTATTCACTGTGTGGGGTGTTTTTTAATCAGATTTGGCTCCACAAATGTGAAGGTTGAACATTTTTATGGGCATAACAATACATGGTCCTACCAGCTGGTTGGAGTTTTCAGACCCTCCACAGCCTGGAAACATTAGAATCTAGGCATGCCAGAGCAGAAGGAGCTGTTTGAACACCTTGCTAGTTTATGGAGTCTTCTAGTGGCCTCACATAAGTACAAGTAGACACACGGTTCTGAGTTGCATCCTCAGACCGACTCATACCTGTTAATGCATTTTTGCTTATGAACAATATAAATGATTTTCATGCGTTCCTTTCTGTAACTGTTGGTCTCCAACAGGTATTTACCTTCCATGCATTTTATTGCTTGGGGCTACTTTTCCAGAGACTCTGATCCCACAAAGACTGCACTGGGAACTGGGGTCATTGCTGGTTTCTCCCATCCCCAGTGTGACCTCTGAGAAGGACAGGTCCAGGAGTAGCTGGGAGGATAGTCTGCTGGGCACCCCATGTGTGTCAGGGGTCCATACCATGCTCTTCCTGTTCCCCATCTTTGAGGGAACCAGGTGAGTCCTTTTCCTATGTGGTTGCAAGCACTTCAAATCGTAGTGCCTTGTGTGATCTCAGGCTTTATCTTTGGAGGGACCGAAAAGGGGGGTGAGCTAGGTGGACTGCAGGATGGGGGATGCTGGAGAACACAGGAGTTACAGCCCACTGTGCCTATGATGGAAGGATGGGGTGACCTGGGAGCCAATAGAGAGATGTAGAGGAAGTTGCACCCACCCCAAAAGTGATTTATGGAGGAACTTTCTTGCTTAGTTCCTGCTTCTCCCACTTGTTTTTAAGGTGGTATGCAGCTTAGTTCTTATCAGGGTGTGCAAAAGTCAGACTTCAAATCCTCAGTGATTTGGTTTTCCAAGATATTGTTAAGGGAAAAATGTCACTGCAAATTGATAAATCAAGGTGTCACTTTATTTTACTAAGAAAAACAATAAAGCAACATATATGAACAACCATACACACAGCGGTCTATTTATGTTCAAAAAGGAATTTAAATGGACACTATCTTTCAAACATTGTTATTCTCCAGGAGGTAGAATGTTTAAAGACATCTTTCACTTGCCCTGTTGAGTTTGGCTCAGTGGTTGGGGTTGGAGTGTGGCCCATAGACCAAAGAATCATCACTTTGATTCAGGTCAGGGGTAAAAAATACCTTGGTTATGGATCGGTCCACAGCCCTGGTTGGGGTCGTGTGAGAGGCAGCCAATGGATGTGTCCCTCTCACATTGATGTTTCTTTTTTCCCCCTGCCCCCACTCTATCTGAACATGAAAAATATCTTTGGGTGAGGATTTAAAAAAAAAATCTCTAACTTACTATGTTCATAAAGGGGTAGTAACCCAAGTAATAAACAATAGAAACGTGGACATTGTATACATTATGGGTTTTTTTCTAATTAACATAAATAAAATCAGTATAGACAGCCCATGCTGGTGTGGCTCAGTGCCATGTACCAAAAAGTCACCAGTTCAATTCAGGATCAGGGCACATGCTGGAGTTCTGGACTGGATCCTCAGTAGGGGCTGTACAGTAAGCAGCTGGTTGATGTTTCTCTGTCTCCCTCTCCCTTCCTCTCTAAAATCAGTGGGGGGAAAAACATAAAAATAAATTAAAAAACATATCCTCAGGTGAGAATTTAAAATATATATGTATATATCAACAATAAAATGATAGGAACATCACTTTTGCAGGATTGTCCACTAGCGAACCTAGTAGGCCAGGATGAAAACCTCCCTTAAAGACTGCAGAGCCCTCGGAACTACATTACCCAGAAATACCTGCGACATCTTGAACCAATGACAGGTCAAAATATCATTTCTGTGTGATGTTACTCTTGGGGCGGGACATTTGGTGTCCTCGTGGCGGGCATTTTTTCGGTTCCCCAGGATCCTCTGGACAGAAGTGACAGGAATCAAGTAGGCACAAAAGGGTCTTCATTCCCGCCACATAGACTCGATTGTGAGTCTCTGCTAAGACGCCGGGTGACCCCCCTTGGGCCGGAACAGGGACCGCCTGCTCTCCCTCCGCCCACAGAGTCCGATGGCAGCGACCACGCTGAGGCCCCCAGCTGAGGTGAGAGCGAGTCCCCCGGCCTCGCCGCCTCCCCGCCCCGAGCCCTGCAGCCGGGTGCGGGCGCCCGTCACGTCCTACAGCCCAGGCCCGGCAGGGAGGACGTCAGAGCCTCCCTCGGGCCTTCCCTGGCTGTGGGGTCCATCGGAGGGCCGGGGTTGTGGCTGGTGGTGTTTGAATTTGTCAGCACCCTGTGGGCGAGTAGGGAGAGATGTCTGTGATGTGCGGCAGGGAGGAGGCCGATCTGTGAGAGTGGAACTGTGGGGACTGAAGGGTTAGACAGGTAGCGGGTACAGAATGGTGTGCACATGGGTAGGTCGTGTGAGTTGATGGCCCCGAGGCCCTGGTGTGGGGACCAGGTAAAGCAGAAGCCACCTTGGGTTGTGTCTAGCAGGTACAGCCTGGGAGACCCCAGGGGAGTGGCTTTGCAGGAGGGATGCTCCCCATCACCCCCACCCCAGGCATGGTTCACAGCTTGGATGGCATCTGTGTGTCCCTACTGCCTGGTGCTGAGGGCTGAACACAGTCATTATGGGGTCCCGAGAAGTAAGCAGACATCAGTGTCCCCGGGGCCTGGTATCTCCTCTGAGTAAAGAATACTTGGAGGAAGATGAACAATGGGAGTGATGACATGATGAAGTGGGAGGTTCTCCGAAAAATAAAGTTTATGGTTTCCTCTGTCCCCATCTTGACAGGATCCTGTGACCTTTAATGATGTTGCTGTGTACTTCTCCTGGGAGGAATGGAGGCTCCTTGATGAGGCCCAGAGACACCTGTACCACGATGTGATGCTGGATAACTTTTCACTGACATCCTCTGTGGGTAAGATTCTCACAGTCTCACCAGGCTCTGTCCTGCTTCATTCTATTTTCCCAGAAGGTGCTCTGTCCATCTCACATGTGGACCACAGGCACTGCTTCCTTCTCTAGCTGGCTGTGTTTCTAGGGTTAGTGGTTTGCACCGTGCTTCTCTCTGTGCTGCAGCCCCAATACCTGCTGTAGCCCAATACCTGCTACATTGAACTCTTCTCATAGGGAAGGATTGCAGGGAGCCTAATGCCTTCCCTCATGCATGTCCTCACCCTGGCCAGGTCATTGTGACCAGATCCACGATACTTTTTTTTTTTTTTTTTTGTGGTATGTGCCCCTAGCGGAAACCGAACCCGGGACTCTCTGGTCCGAAGGCTGACGCTCAACTGCTGAGCCAAACTGGCCAGGGCTGGATCCACGATACTTTTGATCCCTTCCTTTAGCTGACGTTTCCTAGGGTCTACCTTTTTCAGGAAATGCAGGCATTGTTATGGTCACCTGGATCATAGGCTGGTTTTCAAGACACTTGTGTATGGTTTATAAAGATTTTTTAGATCTCTTTTTAGTTTGTTTTTGTTCAAGTGTTGCTGATCTATAAAATGGTGTATATATATATATACACCCGAGGACATTTTTTGTTCAGATAGAATGGGAGGGAGAAAGAGAAAGAGAGAGAAAGAGACATAAACGTGAAAGGGACACATCGAGTGGCTGGCACCCGCACCAACAACCAGGGCCGGGGACAAACTGCAGCTAAGGTACGTGCCCTTAGCGGGAACTGAACCCGGGTCTCTCTGAACCGCAGGCTGACTCTCTAACCGCTGAGCCAAACCGGCCAGGGCTAAAATGGTATATATTTAAATTGTACAAGGTGATGGTTTGATATGTGTATATGTTATGAAATAATTGCCATAATCAAGTTAATGAACACTTCCATCACCTGATGTAGCCACTTTTCTTTTGTAATAACAGTCAAGATATAGTGTCCCAGTACTGTTTTTTTTAATCCTCACCCGAGGATATTTTTTCATTTATCTTCAGATAGAGTGGGAGCGAGGGGGAGAGAGAGAGAGAGAGAGAGAGAGAGAGAGAGAGATCAATGTGAGAGACACATCAGTTGGTTGCCTCCCTCAGGACCCCACCCAGGCCAGCGAACCACAACTGAGGTATGTGCCCTTGTTCGTAATCGAACCCAAGATTTTTTGGTCCATGGGCTGACCCTCAAACAGTGAAGCCAAACCGGCCAGGGCTCTTTCAGTAACTATTAAGAGTTAAATACAGCATTATTAACTGTAGCTACCATGTTTTACATTAGATCCTCAGAACTTATTCATCTTATAACTGAAGATTTGTGCCTTCCTACCAATAACTTTCCATTTCCCCTTCCCATGGCCTTGACATTCTATTGTTTCTGTGAGTTCACCATTTTGTCCCTTAGATTCCACATCTAACTGATATAATACAGTATTTATCTTTTTGTTGTTGTTGTTAGTCCTCACCTGTGGATATTTCTTCCATTGATTTTTAGAGAGAGTGGAAAGGAAGGGAGGAAGAGAGAGAGAGAGAAACATCGAAACATCAGTGTATGGGAGACATATCGATTGGTTTCACGCTGCACGGCGCCAACCTGGCCAGGAATCAAACTTGTCCTTTCGGGGATGTCAAACTCAGGACTCTGCTGTGCACTGGCCAGTGCTCTAACCATCGAACCACATTGGCCAGAGCTCTTATTTATCTTTCTGTGACTGGCTGATTCATTTAGCATAATAATTCACTCCTGATTCATTCAGGTTTTCCCATATGACAGGATTTTCTTTTTTTTCCATGGCGGCAGGTGGGAGCGGTTGCTTTCTTTTTTAAGGCTCAATGATATTCCAAGGGTGTGTGTGTGTATGTGTGTACTCCCTCTTTTTTATCCAGGTATCTGTGGATGTGCACTTATGTTGTTTTCATATTTTGTGAATTGTTTATAAGAATGGTGCAGCAAACATGAGAGTGCAGGTATCTCTTTCATATTCTCATTTCATTTCCTTTGGATATATGCCAAGAAGTGGGACTGGTGGTTCATATGGTAGATCTACTTTGCATTTTTTGAGATATTTCCATACTGTTTTTCATAATGCTTTTAGGAATTTATATTCCCACCAACAGTGTACAAGCATTCCTTTCTTTCTACATGTTTGCTAACACTTGTTGTCCTTTTGGTGGTAACCCTTGTAACATGTATGAGGTAAAATCTCATTGTGGTTTTTTTTTTCAATCCTCACCCAAGGACATATTGTGGTTTAAATTTACGTTTTCCTGATGATTGGTGAGAAGGAGCAATTTTTTATTAAAATTAACCTGTTAGGCTCAGTGGTGGAGCGTCGACCAATGCACCAAGAATTCACCGGCTCGAATCCCGATCAGGGCACATGCCCAGGTTGTGGGCCCAATCCCCAGTGGGGGGAATGCAGGAGGTGGCCAGTCAATGTTCTCTCCCATTGATGTTTCTGTCTCTCTCTCCCTCTCCCTTCCTCACTCTCTAAAATCAATAAAGAAAAAGAAAATTAACCTGCTAGCCACTTAATCATATCTTTTGCACATATGTTAATCATATAGTTTTTTTGTTGTATGTATACCATATATATGTTTATTTTTTTAAATTTTCCATTTATCTTCAGACAGAGTGGGCGGGGGGGGGGAAGAGCGAGAAAAAAACATTGACATGAGAGAGACACATAGACTAGTTGCCTCCTACATGACCCCAACCAGAACCTGGGACGAACCGAAAGCTAAAGTACATGCCCTTGGCCAGAATCGAACCTGACACTCATTAGTCCGAGGGCTGATGCTCTTAATGCTGAACCAAACTGACCAGGGCAAGCTCTTTCTTCTATTTCATTGCTGTGTTTGTCTGCTTTATGTCAGTATCATACTTTTTTGACACAGTTCTTCTTCTTTTATGATTTTGTTGCCTTTTATTGCTTTTTCTTGCCTATGTGCTCTGGCTAGGACTTCCAGTACTTTTTTTTTTTTTTTTACTTATATGGAACACTATGAATTTGCATGTCATCTTTCCCCAGGGGTCATACTAATCTTCTCTGTATCTTTCCAAAGTTAGTTCCAATATGCTGCTAATGTGAGCACTTCCAGTACTATTTTGAATGGAAGTGAGAAGAGTGGTCATCCTTGTCTTGTTCCTCATTTTAAAGGGGAAGGCGTTGTCCAGCCAGTGTAGCTCAATGGTTGAGTGTCGACCCATGCACCAAGAGGTCACCGGTTCGATTCCTGGTCAGGGCACATGCCCAAGTTGTGGGCCCAATCCCCAGTCGGGGCATGCAGGAGGCAGCCAGTCGATGTTCTGTCTCATCAGTGTTTCTATCTCTCTCTTTCGCTCCCTTTTCTCTCTCTAAAAGCAATAAATAAAAACCATTTTTAGTCCTGGCCAGTTTGGCTCAGTGGTTGAGAGTCGGCCTGCGGACCAGAGAGTCCCGGGTTCGGTTCCTGCTAGGGGCACATACTACAAACAAAACAAAACAAAAAAACATTTTTAAGGGAAAGGCATTGAGCCCTGGCCAGTTTAGCTCAGCGGTTAGAGCGTCAGCCTGCGGTCCAGAGAGACCTGGGTTCGGTTTCCGATAGGGGCATGTACCTCGGTTGCAGTTTGTCGCCGGCCCTGGTTGGGTCATGCGGGTGGCAACCACTCGATGTGTCCCTTTCCCGTCGATGTTTCTCTCTCTCTTTTCCTCCCTCCCATTCTATCTGAACAAAAAATGGAAAAATGTCGTTGGGTGAGGATTTAAAAAAACAAATGGAAAGGCATTGACTTTTAACCTTTGAGTATGATGTCAGTTTGGGCTTATTGTATATGGCCTTTATTATGTTGAGGTATATACCTTTTCTACTTACTTTATTGAGAGGTTTTTAAAATTATTATTATTGCTTTCAGATAGAGGAAGGGGAGGAAAGAGAGAGAGAGAAACATCAATGTGAGAGAGAAACATCGATTGGTTGACTCTCACCCATTTCCCAACCAGGAATAAAACCTGCAACCTGGAAATGTGCCCTGAATGAAAATCAAACCTTCCATCTTTTGGTCTAGGAGAGGGTCCTCCCATCATCCAAGCTACAGCAGCCTGGGCATGTTGAAAGTTTTTTTGTTTTTTTTTATCCTCACCCGAGAACATTTTTCCATTTTTTGTTCAGATAGAGTGGGAGGGAGAGAGAGAGAGAGAAACATTGACGTGAAAGGGACATATCGAGTGACTGCCTCCTGCAGGACCCAACCAGGGCCGGGGACAAACTGCAACCGAGGTACATGCCCTTAGCGGGAACTGAACCCGGGTCTTTCTGGACTGCAGACCGCTGAGCCAAACCGGCCAGGACCACACCCCTTATTTTGATTGAGACAGCAACCTTGGCATGTCCCCTGATCGGGAATCGAGCCTGAGACCTCTCCATGCTCATCCAACTGATACACATTGCCTGGGCCAGTCATTTCTTTAAATAAGTTCTCTGACCCCTTCTCCCCAAGTTTCCTTGTGGCACTACCATATTGCAAATATAATTTACTGTGATGACATCCCATAAATTATGTAGGCTTTTTCCGGTCTTTTTTCTCTTCTCATTGAATGATTTCAAATGACCTGATGCTATGTCACAGTTTTCTCCTGCTTCATTAAGTTGCAATTGAAGTTCTCTGTTGCATTTTTCATTTTGTTCTTTTTTTTTAAATCATCACCGGAGGGTATTTTTACATTTATCTTCAGATAGAGTGGGAGTGGGAGTGGGAGTGAGAGAGTGACACCAATATTGATGTGAGAGAGCCACATCGACTGGTTGCCTCCTGCATGACCCGACCAGGGCTGGGGACCGAACCGCAATGGAGGTCCTTGCCCTTGACCAGGATCAGACTCGCGACTCTTTGGTCCATGGGCCGATGCTCTAACTGCTGAGCCAAACCAGCCAGGGCTCATTTTCTTCTTTTCTTTTTTTTTTTTAAAGCTAATGCTCTCTCTTTTTTTCCTTTATTGATCTTAGAGCGGAAGTTAGAAGGAGAGAGTGATGAGGGAGAACATCAATTGGCTGCCTCCTGCATACCCCTCACTGGGGATCAGGCCCACAATCTAGGCATGTGTCCTGACCGGGAATCGAACCGGCAACCTCTTGGTGCATGAGTTGACACTCAACCACTGAGCCACGTTGGCCGGACTCATTTTGTTCTTTTTATTCTTCAAGTCCAGAATTTTTTTTTTAATTCACTTTTTGAAAAAGTTTCTTGTCTTTCAACTTGATGTGTTCATGTAGTTTTCCTGGTTTCACTGAGTTGTCTCTGTATATTCTTGGATCTGGCTGAGCTTTTGTAAAACAATCATTTTGAATTTTTTGTCCAGCACTTTGTTGGATTCTCTTGCTGGATAATTATTGTGCTCCTTTGGTGATGACATGTTTCCTTGATTTTTATTGTGTTCCTTATAGCCTTTTGTTAATGTCTCTATATTTGATGGATCAGACACCCCTTCCTTATTTTACAGCTGCGATTTGGTGTGGAAAGGTCTTCACCTTGAGTTCTTGTGAGGTCATTGGTGTGCCATGGTGTGACAGTTCTATCTGTGGGGAGGAAGAAGCCATGCAATCACAATGTAGCTGGGTCAGCTGAGGTCAGGGATGGCTGATATAGGGATTCTGAATAGCTAAGGCTGATGTTCTCTCATCTCTTCCTCTGTTGCTCTGCAGTGTGGTCCACACATGCCATGAGATAAGCACGCATCCTTAAGTTGCCCTTGAACCGCAGTTACCCTGTTGCAATTGGTTTTTCCTGGGTTTGGACATGTGCTTCTACACATCCTCAGGTCACCAACAGTAGAGGTTTTAGTGGAATATTTTAGCAGAGGAAAAAGTTTTACAATATGCCTGCCTTCTATCTGTTACATCCTATTATTGTGTCCTTCCTCTGGTGAGGACTCTACCATACTTTTACCTTAAAAGTATGGTCATGTGCCCTAGCCAGTTTGGCTCAGCGGTTAGAGCTTCGGCCTCCGGACCAGAGAGTCCTGGGTCTGGTTCCTGGTAAGGGCACGTGCCTCAGTTGCAATTTGTCCCCGGCCCTGGTTGGATCGTGTAGGTGATGACCACTCAAATGTGTCTCTCTCAGATTGATATTTCTCTCTCTCTCCCTCCTGCTCTATCTGAAGATAAATGCAAAAATGTCCTCAGGTGAGGATAAAAAACAAAAGTGTGATCATGCCCAGTAGCCACTTTCGCAAATAGTTTAATTCCCTTCATTGAAAAGCATCCCATAGACTCATTCCTAGACATGAAAAATGCACATTTGTGATAGTGTTACCCACTTCTTATAGTCAACATGTACTTCATTAGTATTTATTTGCGTTCAGGTTGCTGCTGTGGAGCTGAGGATGTAGAAGCACTCACTGAACAGAGTGTTTCTGTAGGAGTGTCACAGTCCAGCACGTCTGAGGCAGCTCTGTCTTCCCAGCAGACCCACTTCTGTGAGAGTTGTGGTCCAGTCTTGAGAGACATATTTCAGTTGGCTGAGCACCAAGGAACACCACACAGCCATAAAGTGTGCAGGTGTTGGATATGTATGAAGCTATTTTATTTTAGTGCAAACTTCCAAAAACACCAGAAGCAGCACCTGGGAGAGAAACCCTTCAGAAGCAGTGTGGACAGGGCCCTGTTTGTGAAGAGCTATAAATCCCATGTTTCAGAGAAGCCCTTTACCTGTGGTGAAGTTGACAAAGACTTTCTGGCCACCTCAGACCATCTCCAGCAGCAAACCACTCCCACAAGGGAGGAGTCCAACAAAACTACACAGTGCTGGGCAACTGTACAAAAGAGAAAAACTTATTTCACCTGGGGAGAATGTAAGGCAGCCTTCTGCCCCAGAAACACACGTGCTCAGGACCAGGATGTCCACACTGGAATACAGTGTTTTGTGTGCCATGAATGTGGGAAAGAATTCATATATCAGTCCTCATTAATTGTTCACCAGAGAGTTCACACAAGTGAAAGGCTTCATGTGTGTGGTGAATGTGGCAAGTCTTTTAGGCAAACCTCAACCCTCAATCAGCATCGAAGAATTCATTGTGGACCAAGGCAGTACAAGTGCAGCAAATGTGGGAAGTCCTTTAACCAAAAATGTGTCCTCATTTATCCCTGGAGAAGCTATATTGGAAAAAAATGTGGCTTGTGCCGTGAATGTGTGCAGTCTTTTAGCCATCGATCCATCCTTATTCGACAACGGACAGTTCACTCTGGGGAAAGGCGTTATGAGTGCACACGGTGTGGGAAATCCTTTAGAAAAAAGTTTTACCTCATCATACATTGGAGAGTGCACACTGGAGAAAGACCTTATGAGTGCAGTGAGTGTGGGAAATCTTTTACCAGTAGTTCAGTATTTATTCTACACCGGAAAGTACATACAGGAAAAAGGCCTTTTGAGTGCAGTAAATGTAGGAAATCCTTTACCAGTAGTTCAATACTCATTCTACACCAGAGAGTACACACAGGAGAAAGACCTTATGAGTGCAGTGAATGTTGGAAATCTTTTAGCCATCAATCTTACCTCAGTCAACATCGGATAATTCATAAGCAAAGGAAGTCTTATGGATGTAGTAAATGTGGGAAATCTTTTACCTCTCGCCCTGGCCTTCGTTATCATGAGAGTATTCACAGTGGATCTAGGTCTTATGTGTGTAGTGAATGTGGGAAATCTTTTACCTCTCGCCCTGGCCTTCGTTACCATCTGAGAGTTCACACTGGAAAAAGGCCTTATAAGTGCAGTGACTGTGGGAAATCTTATAGCCAAAGGTCCAATCTCATTCAACATCAGAGAGTTCACACAGGTGAAAGGCCTTATCAGTGCAGTGAATGTGAGAAATGTTTTACCTCTAGCTCTGCCTTTCATTATCATAAAAAAGTTCACACTGGAGAAAGGCCTTATCAGTGCAGTGAATGTGGGAAATCTTTTTTATCTGGTTCCAACCTTAGTAATCATGAAAGAGTACACACAGGAGAAAGACCTTTTGAGTGCAGTGAATGTGGGAAATCATTTATTCAAAGACATCATCTTCTTCTACACCAGAGAGCTCACACAGGAGAATTGCCTTATCATTGTAGTGAATGTGGGAAATCGTTTTCAGCTGGTTCCAACCTTAGTAATCATCAGAGAGTTCACACTGGAGAAAGACCTTATGAATGCAGTGCATGCGGGAAGTCCTTTATCCAAAGGCATCACCTCATTACACACCAGAGAGTTCACACAGGAGAAAGGCCATATCGGTGCAATGACTGTGGGAAATCTTTTGCGTCTGGATTTAACCTCAGAAATCATCACAGAGTTCATACCGGAGAAAGGCCTTATGAGTGCACTGAATGTGGAAAATCCTTTATCCAAAAGTGTTATTTTCTTATACACCTGAGAGTTCACACAGGAGAAAGGCCTTATGAATGTAATGTATGTGGGATATCTTTTACCACTAGGAGGAAACTTCGTTATCACCAGGGAGTTCACACTGGGGAAGGGCCTTATGAGTGCCATGAATGTGGGAAATCTTTTACCTCTAGTTATGCCCTCCGTGATCATCAGAGAGTTCATACAAGCAAAAGGCCTTATGAATGTACTGAATGTGGGAAATCCTTTAGAGCTAATTCTTACCTCATTGAACACTGGAGAGTTCACACTGGAGAAAAGCCTTATCAATGTAGAGAATGTGGGAAATCTTTTTCATCAGGCTCTGGCCTTCGTTATCATCAGAGTGTTCACACTGGGTTAAGGCCTTATGAGTGTAGTGAATGTGGGAAATCTTTTCCCAAGAGCTCAGCACTTGTTCGACATCGAAGAACTCACACAGGAGAAAGGCCTTATGTGTGCAGTGAATGTGGGAAATCGTTTATCCAAAGACATCACCTTCTTGTCCACCAACGAGTTCACACAAGATTAAAGGCTTAGGATTGTAGTGAACTCAGGAAATCTTTTAAGGATACTTCCAGTCCAATTAACTAGATAGTTCACACTGGAGAAAGGTGTTTGATTGCAAAAATGTGGGAAATCATTTAGCCATAAATCTTACCTTTCCTAACACGTGAGTCTTCATATTGGTGAAAGGTCTTACGAGTGTAGTGAGTGGAGGAAATGTTTTACCTGTATCTCTGGTGTTTATTATTATCAGAGAGTTTACCCAGGATGAAGGCATTATAGTGTACCAAATGTAAAAGGTCTTTTGCCCATAGTTTGACAGTCTTTCACTACCCAAGAGTTCACCCAGGAGAATGACCCTATGAGTGCATGGAATGTGGGATTTTCTTTTTCCAAATAAGTTACCTTATTATACAGTGGAATTTATACTGGAGAAAGATTTTAGACCTGCAAGGGAATTTGCAATTTTCTTGTTCTGTATAATAAGAAACTGTGAAAAGCCATCTGTCTGAATTCAGTCTCATGTGTCCAGTTGTCAAAATTGGGAGATTTCCCATAAATTTTATTTATTTTTTATTACTATTATTTTTCTTTATTGATTTTAGAGAGAAAGGAAGGGATAGGGAAAGATAGAAACATCGATGAGAGGAACATCGATTGGTCACCTCTTGTATGCCCCCCACTGGGGATTGGGCCCACCACCTGGGCATGTGCCCTGACTGGGAATCGAGCTGGTGACCTCCTGGTGCATGGGTTGATGCTCAACCACTGAGCGACACCGGCCTGGAGATTTCCCATAAATTTTAGTTATGTGGCAGGCATGTGTATCTATGTTGCACTTTCTGACCTGCCCAGGGTTCTTTGCATTTTCTGTTGTCAAAGCCATTTTACCCTACCACATGGACACATTTGTGTCCATACCTTACTAATGTGCTCAGAGAAGCTGACTTCTGTTCTCTCAGCTATTGGAGAAAATTAGGAGTAACCCAAGCTGTTTGGAGTTCACATTGGACAGAAACCCAACCCATTGTTGGCTCAGAAAATATCACATGAGTACCACTGGAGCACCATGTTCTCCCATGATTTCTTTTCAGCTTCCAAGTCAGCAACTGAACTATTTGCTACACACTGCTTTGGTTTGTACAATACCATTTAAGTTCCCACTGTGTAAGTTTTCTTTCACTTTGGGTGTTCTATTTACTGTATGGGGTGTCTTATACACTGATTTTGTCTCCACAAGTGTGAAGGGTGAACATTTTTAAAAATATTTTAATTGAAATTTTAGAGAGAGGAAGGGACAGAGATAGAAACATAAATGTAAGAGAGAAACTTCAATTGGCTGCCTCTTGCACACCCCCTACTGGGGGTCAAGCCCACAACCTGGCATGTGCCCCAACTGGGAATCTCTCAATCCATGGGATGATGCTCAATCCACTGAGCTACACTGGCTGCACAAAGGGTGAACATTTTTATGGGGATATCAACTTTGTGTTCTTCATGGAGACACTATAAGGGCAAAATATAGGTTGTTGATTTTTGTCAAGTTTGCATTTTTGCCAACCACCCTCTAGGAAACAGTGAGGGGCTTTCTGTTCCTCATTTGAAGCCTGGATGCTATGAGTTTTAGGAGATTCAGAAATCACCCTGAGGAGGGGTCAGATGTGACATTCTCAAGTGCTTATTGGTGAAGCATGAGTTTTTCCCTACTTCACGGGATAATCTCAGGGACTATTGAGGGGAATTTGTTTCCTAGGTCCTGCAAAGAACCATGTGTCCTGATGTTTGCAATTCCATGGATGATGGTCACTGGTTGTTAGACTATAGGGTTTAGAAGAGACCATAAGTGCTATTGAAACAATACTTGATTAGTAGAGATTGGAGAAGACTTGAGCCAACACGATGGAATGTGTTTCTTCTAAATGTGAATCCGCAAATATTTCCGTAGCAGTGACTGTGCAGGATCAGTGTATACACAAATTTCAGGATCTCCAGGCATCTTTATCTTAGGTAGCTGAAGGATGTGTCAGAGAAATAAAAGTTTTGTGTACTCTTGTTGTGTCATTGTTGCACAGGCAGGGAAAGAAAGATAAAGGAAAGTAGTCGCAGGATATGGATCGAGCCTTCAGTCCAGGCATGTGCCCTGACCTAGAATCAAACCTGGGACCTCTTGGTGCGTAGGTCAACGCTCAACCACTGAGCCACACCAGCCAGGCATAAAGTGTACTATTTGATAAGTTTGACATACATTTGAAACTGAAAACACCATTGCAATTATGGTAATGACCTAACCTGTCACTGTATTTTTGCCTCATGTCATCTGTAATCTGTCTCTGCCCTTCAGTCTTCCCAGTAACTTGCTTTACTTTTCCTTAGCATAAATACCTTTTTATTGTCTATATATAACAGAAATCATTAAATGTTTACTCTTTTTCTGTTTTACTTTATGTTTATTATTACTTTGAGATTCATCTATGACATAAGTAGCTCAACCTTTTTTTCCCTCTATTTTTGAATATATCATAATTGATTTATCCCTTCATTACTTTATGGACCTTTGAGTCATTCCTTTTTTTTTTAATATCATAAATAAAGGTTGTACAAACCTATGTGTACAATTCTTTATGTGGATATATGTTTCATTTGTCTTTTTCAGTAATTTAGAGTGTAATGTCTGAGTCACGGGTAGGTGAGTCTTAACTTTTGAAGAAACTAACAAATTGTGATCTAAAGTGATTATACCTGTCTACTTTCTTTATCATCATTTTATGAGAGTTCCATTTCTCCACATCATCATGAATATTTTATTTTGTTTTCAATTTAACTCTTTTGAATAGTTGTATTGCTAGTTCTTGTTGTTTTAATTGTATTTCCCTAAGCATTCTTGGTGAGTAGTTTTTCTTGTTTGCTATCTATATGTCTGGTAAAATATCTGCTCATATCTTTTGCCTATTTTATGAACTTTGGCAATTTTTATTTTAACAACTAGGATGTTGGCATTTCACTCTTTTTATATATATATATATGAGTGACTTTGCTTAATGAATTGTGTATAGTATTGGAAAATGTATCTTAATATTTTTCAAAAATTTTGTGCTGTGCGCAATGCTGGAAACACACCATACACTTTTAAGATTAGTATGCATAATAAATATTCTCCATCTGTTTCTTTGTTGTTTTTTTTTAATGTTTTTATTGATTTTAGAGAGAGGAAGGGAGGGAGGGAGAGTGAGAGAAACATGCATGAGAGAGAACATCAATTGGCCGCCCCCTGCATGCCCCCTACTGGGGATTGGGCCCACAACCTGGGCATAGGCCCTGACGGAGAATTGAACCAGTGACCTCTTGGTGCATGGGTCGATGTTCAACCACTGAGTCACACCAGCCAAGCAATAAAAAATCTTTTAACAAAGAAACAAACAAAAAGCCATTATGTCCCAATAAGCTCAGTTTTCTTGTTCATCTTTGGTAGATTGGAACAGATCAGGGATCAGATGGCATGAGGAAAGTGAGGGCATTCAAACCCTGCTCTGGGGAGGGGTACTATAATGATGGTACTCTGCAAGTAGCCTGAGTCTGAATCTTAGATCCCCAACCATCACTGGAGCCTACAAACTCCTTAGGGCATCAGTTTCCTACTGTATAAAACAGATGAGCAGTGCCCTGGCCAGTTTGGCTCGGCGGTTAGAGCATCGGCCTGCGGTCCGGAGAGACCCAGGTTCGGTTCCCGCTAAGGGCACGTACCTCGGTTGCAGTTTGTCCCCGGCCCTGGTTGGTTGTGTGGGTGGCAGCCACTCGACGTGTCCCTTCGCGTCGATGTTTCTCTCTCTCTCTCCCTTCCTCTCTCTCCCTCCCGCTCTGTCTGTACAAAAAATGGAAAAATATCCTCGGGTGAGGATAAAAACAAAACAAAACAGATGAGCAGTAACCTTGCCCCTCGGCCATTAGAAGAGCTGTCCATTCTCTGTGCAGAAGCTGTGGTGACGTCAAGGGGCAGAGCACCCCTCTGTACTGTACCCCGCAGGCAGGCGGGTGCTATAGGTTACTGAGATCTTAGTGTGGGGTTTCCACCAGGGAATATAGGTGATTGGAGGATGAACATTAGTAACAAAACAGTGAACATTTCCATTGCCAGGATTCCAGGGTTTATTTTTTTTTAGCATATTCTTTTTTAATATTTTTAATTTTTGAAAAAATATTTTTCTTTCTTGATTTTAGAGAAAGAGGGAGAGGGAGAGGGAAATATCTGCGAGAGATCGGCTATCTCCTGAATGCCCCACAACGAGGGTCAGCCAACAACCTGGGCAAGTGCCCTGATGGGGAATCTAACCTGCGACTTCTTGGTGCATGGGTCCATGTTCAACCACTGAGCCACACCAGTCAGGCTGAGCATATTCTCTTTGGAAACTCCTTGGGAGTTTCTCTGGTATAATCTGAAATCGGTCCCCATGCAGGAAAGGCATGGAGAGACTGAAGAAAGAGACTAAATACTCCAGATTGAACCTGTGAATCCCTCACCTGGGGCAGGGGGGCCTGGAGGATCAGGGAGTGTCTGCTGCTGCTGCTGCCAGTTTTACCCTCTGGGTGTAGGCTGAGCTTCATGGAGTCTAAACTAATGCCTCATCTCCGCCTTTAACAACCCGCAAACGCTCCCTTGTCAGCTGAGGTTCAAGCAGCACTTCCCTACTTCCTTCCTAATACCTGGCAGACAATACTGTGGTCGGGCCTGTTGGAGAACACGTTTCCCACCACCTCTAGAGTTCTAGGAACTACATTACCCAGAAGGGCATGCGACGGAAAGCCTCCACGAGGAGCCATTGGCAGGCCATAAAGGCATTTCAGTGCGCGCGCGTGCATGGGGGAGGGACTTCCGGTCCCCTCCGGAACTGGCTCTTTTGCTCCAGGAGATTCCTAGTACAGTATTGGGGTCAAATTAAAAGAACCGAGTGGGCGTGTCTAGAACCTACTGTCTAGAGAGGCGGGACTGCACGTGATCCGCGCCTGGGCCAGGACCAGGACCAGGACCGAGTGTTCCAAGCGCCTCCTCACCACCTGCTCCGCCCGCTGAGTCCGTAGAGTCCGATGGCGGCGGCCGCGCTAAGGCGCCCGGCTGAGGTGAGAGCGCGTCCCCGGCCTCCCCGCCTCTCCGCCTCGAGCCCTGCAGCCCGGGCCCCGCGTGCGGACCGGGAGGAAGGCTGAGTGCGGAGAGGAGGGGGTGGCTTCCGAGGGGACAGCGAGTCCACGCGGAGGGAAAGGGTTATTCGTATCTGAAAGTCGTGTCCTTCTGGGTGCCTCCGAGTGACGCGAAGAGCAGAGGCCGGCAGGGAGGACGTCAGAGCCTCACTCGGGCCTTCCCTGGCTGTGGGGTCCATCCGAGGGCCGGGGTTGTGGCTGGTGGTGTTTGAATTTGTCAGCACTCTGGGCGAGTAGGGAGAGATGTCTGTGATGTGCGGCAGGGAGGAGGCAGATCTGTGAGAGTGGAACTGTGGGGACTGAAGGGTTAGACAGGTAGCGGGTACAGAATGGTGAGCACATGGGTAGGTCGTGTGAGCTGATGGCCCCGAGGCCCTGGTGTGGGGACCAGGTAAAGCAGGAGCCCACCTTGGGCTGTGTCTAGCAGGTACAGCCTGGGAGACCCCAGGGGAGTGGCTTTGCCGGAGGGTTGGGCCCCGCGGGCATGGCCCTCAGCTTGGATGGCGTCTGTGTGTTCATACTGCCCGGTCCTGAGTGCTGAACACAGTCATTATGGGACCCTAAGAAATAAGCAGACATCCTGTTAGCAGGGCCTGGTATCTCCTCTGAGCGGGAATGACCTGGCGAAGATGAACAATGGGAAGAAGCGTGAGGTGATGAACTGTGAGGTTCTCAGAAAATTAAAGTTTATGGTTTCCTCTGTCCCCATCTTGACAGAATCGTGTGACCTTTGACGATGTTGCTGTGTACTTCTCCTGGGAGGAATGGGGGCTCCTTGATGAGGCCCAGAGACGCTTGTACCACGATGTGATGTTGGAGATCTTTGCACTTACATCCTCTCTGGGTAAGATTCTCACAGTCTCACCAGTGACTTGGACTAGGCTCTGCCCTGCCTCATGCTCCTTTCCCCAGCAGTGCTCTGTCCTTCTCACATGTGGACCACAGGCACTGCTTCCTTCTCTAGCTGGCTGTGTTTCTAGGGTGGGTGGTTTGCACCGCCCTCTTCCCTGTGCTGCAGCCCCAATACCTGCTGCATTGAACTCTTCTCATAGGGAAGGAATGCAGGGAGCCTAATGCCTTCCACATGCACGTTTCCTCCCTGGCCAGGTCAGTGTGTCCAGATCCATGGTACTTCTTTAAGCCCTTTTTTTTAGCCGACATTTCCTACGGTTTGCCTGTTTTAGAAAGTTCGTGCATTCTTATGGTCACTACTTAGGGTGGACTATGGGCTATTTTCCCAAAACTCTTTGCAGGTTTATATAGTTATTTTTAGGTCTCTTTTTGGTTTTGGTTTTGTTTCAGTATTCCTGATATGCAAAATGGTATATGTTTAAAGCGTGCATTGTGATGAATCAATATATTTATATGTGAAATAATTGCCATAATCAAGTTAATAAACACTTCCATCATCCGAAATAATCACTTTTTAAAAAAAATCATAGCACTTAAGGTACACTCTCTCAGTAACATTTTATTATTATTATTTTTTTCCTTTCTTTTTATCCTCACCCAAGGATATTTTTCCATTTTTTGTACAGATAGAGTGGGAGGGAGAGAGAGGAAGGGAGAGAGAGAGAGAAACATCGACGTGAAGGGACACATCGAGTGGCTGCCACCCGCACGACCAACCAGGGCCGGGGACAAACTGCAACCGAAGTACGTGCCCTTAGCGGGAACCGAACCCGGGTCTCTCCAGACCGCAGGCCGACGCTCTAACCGCTGAGCCAAACTGGCCAGGGCTCTCAGTAACATTTTAAAAAAATGTTTTTGATTTTTTCTTTTAGAGAGAGAGAGAGAAACATTGATGTAAGAAAGCAACTTTAATTGGCTGCCTCCTGTGTACCCCCTACTGGGGATCAAGCCCACAACCTGGGCATGTGCCCTGACTGGGAATTGAACTGGGACCTCTTAATCCATGGGATGATGTGCAATCCACTAAGCCACACCAGATGGGCTCTCGCAATAACTTTTAAGTGCAAAATACCGTATTATTATTAATTGTAGTCATTATGTTTTACATTTGATCCTCAGCACTTATGTATCTTATAATTGAAGGTTCATACCTTTTGACCAACAACTCCCCATCTCCTTGTTTCCCTGGCCCTGACATTCTAGTCTGTTTCTGTGAGTTCAGCTTTATTTTTTAGTTCAGATTCCACATCTCAGTGATAACATACTATATTTATCTTTCTGTTACTGGCGTATTTCATTATGCCCTCTAGGTTCATCCAAGTTGTCACACGTGACAGGATTTTCTTCTTTTTTAAAAATTTATTTTATTTTTATTTATTTATTTTTAATTTTTTATTGATTTTAGAGAGAGAGACAGAAGAAGAGAGAAGGAGAGAGGTAGAAACATCAATGAGAGAGAACATCGATTGGCCGCCTCCTGCATGCCCCTCACTGGAGATCTGGCCCACAGCCTGGGCATGTGCCCTGACTGGGAATCGAACTGGAGACCTCTTGGTGCATGGGTCGATGCTCAGCCACTGAGCCACACCAGCCAGGCTTTATATTTTATTTTTTAAATTTTATTATTTTTTTGGTACGTGCCCCTAGCGGGAACTGAACCCAGGACTCTCTGGTCTGCAGGCCGACGTTCCAACCACTGAGCCAAACCAGCAAGGGCTATTTTTTTTTTCTTTAACTTTTTTTAATTTAATTTTTTTATTCTTTTTTGTTTTGTTTTGTTTTGTTGTTTTATTTTGTCTTTTAGGGCTATTTTTTATTTTTACTATTTTTTGGCAGTGGTTGGGGGTATTTTTATCAATTGAGGACTTTTTTTGCATTTATTTTCAGATAGAGTGGGAGGGAGAGAGAAAGAGAAACATTAATGTGAGAGAGACACAATGACTAGTTGCCACCTGCATGACCCTAACCGGGGCCGGGGATGAATTACAATCTGGGGACGTGCCCTTAGCGGAAACCGAATCTGAGACCCTGTGGTCTGCAGGCCGACACTCTAACCGCTGAACCAAACTGGCCAAGGCGGAGATATTTCTTTTTTAATGCTTAATAATAATTGAAGGGAGTGTGTGTGTGTGTGTGTGTGTGTGTGTACCACCCCTTTTTTTATCCATGTATTCTTGGGTGGACATTTATGTTGTTTACATATCTTGTGTGTGTGTATAAGAATGATGCATTGAGCCCTGGCTGGTTTGGCTCAGCGGTTAGAACGTTGGCCTGTGGTTTAGAGAGACCCAGGTTCAGTTCTTGCCAGGGGGGCGTACCTCAGTTGCAGTCTGTCCCCGGCCCTGGTTGGTCGTGTGGGTGACAGCCACTCAATGTGTCCCTTTCACATCGATGTTTCTCTCTCTCACTCACTCTTCCTCTCTCTCCCTCCCACGCTGTCTGAACAAAAAATGGAAGAAAAATGTCCTCAGGTGAGGATAAAAAAAAAAGAATGGTGCATTGAACAGAGTGCAGATATCTTTTTCACATTCTGGTTTCATTTCCTTCATATATATACCAAGGAGTAGGCTTGCTGTCTTATATGGAAATTCTAGTTTGCATTTTTTTTAGGTATTTTTATACTGTTTTTCATAATGCCTTTAAGAGTTTGCATTCCCATCAACAGAGAACACCTGTTCCTTTCTTTCTACACGTTTGCTAACACTTACCTCTTGTCTTTTTGGTGATAGACCTCCTAACATATATGACATAATATGTCATTGTGGTTTGAATTTACGTTTTTCTGATTGTTAGTTAGGAAGAGGAATTTTTCATTAAAAATTGGAGTGTCGGCCAGTGGACTGAAGGATGATGGGTTCGATTCCTGGTCAAGGGCTCATACCTGGGTTGCGAGTTCATTCCCTGACCCTGGTCAGGGTTCGTGTGGGAGGCAGCCAAATGATGTGTCTCACATTGATGTTTCTCTCTACCTCCCTCCTTCCCTCCCTCCCTCCTACTCTATTTAAAAATTAATGGGAAAATATCCTTAGGTGAGGATTAAAAATAATAATGATAATAATAAAAAATAGCCCAGCCTGTGTTGCTCAATGGTTGATCATCGAGTCATGTGCCGAGAGGTCGCTGGTTCCATTGCCAGTCCTGGCACATGCCCAGGTTGTGGGCCCAATCCCCAGTCCAGGGCATGCAGGAGGCGGCCAGTTGATGTTCTCTCTCATCAGTGTTTCTATTTCTCTCTCCCTCTCCCTTCCTCTCCAAACTCAATAAAGAAGAAAAAAATAATAATGATAATAAATAGCCCTGGACGGTTCCTCAGTGGTTAGAGCATCCTCCTGCCTACCAGAGAGTCCCATATTTTGTTCCCACTAGGGACATGTACCTCATTTGCAGTTTGTCCCTGGACGCGGTTGGGGTCGTGTGGGTGGTAACCACTCAATGTGTCTCTTTCGCGTTGATGTTTCTCTCTCTTCCTCCCTGTCTCCCTCCCGCTCTATCTGAAAGGTAAATGCAAAAAAAAAATGTCCTCAGGTGAAGATAGAAAAAAAAAATTTAATAATAAATAGAAATAAACAGAAATAGTATCCCCTTATCAGGGGATACAAATATTTTCTGTTCCGTGTGTTGCCTTTTTATTTTGGCATTCTTTTCTTTGCTGTGCACAAACATTTTCATTGGTTATTTTACCTTTTTTTCCATTCTATACTTTTGGTGTCATAACCAAAAAAAGCATTGCCAAGTAGTTCTTTTGTTTTTGTTTTCCTCTTTGGCTATCTCCCTTTGTGATTTGATGATTTTTCCATAGTGAAATGCTTTGATTCCTTTACCTTTATTTTTTATTTATCTGCTGTAGGTTTTTGCTTTGTGATTATCATCAGTTTGACTTAGAACATCATTGCTCCCCTAGTTGCAAGTCTTATGGGACCTTTAGAATTTAGGGACCTAGAGAAAAGTAAAGGTGTGTGCCTGAGAGGGAAGAAAGGTGTGGGTGAGCTTCAGAGAACCGGCTGCATTTTATGTTTTTGATGTCACAATCTATACTTTTTTATTTTTAAATCCTCACCCGAGGATATTTTTCCTTTTATTTTCAGATACTATGTGAGGAAGGAAGGAAGACAGAGAGAGAGAGACAGTGATGTGAGAGAAACACCTTGAATGGTCGCCTCCCACATGACCCCAACCAGGGCCGGGGACCCAACTGCAACCAAGGTATATGCCCTTGACCAGAATTGAACCTGCAACTCTTTGGTCTGCAGGCTGATGCTCTTAACTGCTGAGCCAAACCGGCCAGAGTGCAATCTATCCTTTTTTATATTGTTTAACCATTATTAAATTATGGTGGCTATAGTTATTTTTAGTACTCTTGGTTTTAACTCTATTTTATACTAGAGTTAAATGATTAAGACACAACCATATTACAGTATTCTGAATTTTAATATATACTTATCTTTTCAGGGGTGCTCTATAGCTTCATGTATTTCTTTGTTACTGATTAGTTTCTTTTCAGTTCAGCTTGAAGAACTCCCTTTTATATTTCTAGTAAGGCAGATCGAGTAGTGATGAACTCCCTCAGCTTTCTTTATTTTAATCCTCACCTGATGATATTTTTCCATTGATTTTTCAGATAAAGTGGGAGAGAGGGATGGAGAGAAGGAGAGAGAGGCAAAGAGGTAGAAACATTGATATGGGAGAGACACAGATTGGTTGCCTCTCGCATAAACCCCGACCAGGGCCGGGGATCAAACCACAACTGAAGTATATGCCCTTGATCAGAATTGAACCTGAAACTCTTTAGTCCGTGGGCTAATGCTCTAACCACTGAACAACTGGCCAGGAATCCCTCAGCTTTTTTTTTTTAATCCAGGAAAATTTTTAATTCTCCTACATTTCTGAAGGACAGCTTTTCCATAAAGTATTCTTAGTTGGCTTTTTTTTTCTTTCATTATTTTGAATTTATAACTCATTCTCTCCTGTTCTGCATGATTTCTGGTGAGAAATTTACTTATGGCTTTATTGTGATTTCCTTGTATACAATGAGTTTTCTTTCTGCTTTCAAAATTCTCTTTGTTATTGATTTTTTTAAATTTATTTTTGTTACAGATGTTTCTCCTTTTCCCCCAATTAACACCCTCTTCTCTATCCCACCCCCCCGCCCCTGCATTGTTATCTATGTCCATCAGTTTATCTCTTCCCTTCCCCCGCCCCTCCTCTTCTGAGGTTTGTCAGTCTGTACCTTATTTCTATTGTCTCTGGGTCTGTTTTGTTCATCAGCTTATTTTGTTCATTATATTCCACAAATAAGTGAGATCATGTGTTGTCTTTCTCTGATTGGCTTATTTCACTTAGCATAATACTCTCCAGGTCCCTCTACATTGTCTCAAAGGATAAGAGATCTTTCTTACAGCTGTATAGTATTCCGTTGTGTGTGTGTGTGTGTGTGTGTGTGTGTGTGTGTGTATTTGCCCCAGCTTTTTTATCCACTCATCTATTGATGGACTCTTGGGCAGTTTGTTATTGAGTTTTGAACGTTTCATTTTAATGTGTTTCAGTGACGTTCTCTTTGCATTGCATATATATGTACGAAAACCTATGAGCATCAAGTACCTGTATGTACACATCTCTCTTCTGATTTGGGAATTTTTTAGCCATTATTTCTTTAAATAAACTTTCTGACCGTTTCTGTCTCACTTCTCCTTATTGCACTCCCATATTGCAAATATTTCTGTTGATGGCATCCTATAAATTATGTAGGTTTTGTTTTTGTTTTTTTAATCCTCACCTGAGGATATTTTTCTGTTTGTTTTCAGATAGAGTGGGAGAGAGAGATAAAGGGAGAGAGAGAGAAACATCGACGTGAGAGGAACACATCCAGCATGACCCCAACCAGGGCCAGGGATGACCTGCAACCAAGGTACATGCCCTTGACCGGAATCAAACCCGCAACTCTGGTTTGTGGGCTGCCGCTCCACTGCTTAGCCAAACTGGCCAGGGCATAAATTATGTAGGTTTTTGTTTGTTTTTTTGTTTTTATCCTCCCCTGAGGACATTTTTCCATATTTTGTTCAGATAGAGTGGGAGGGAGAGAGAGAGAAAAAAAAACATCAATGTGAAAGGGACATATTGAGTGGTTGCCACCCACATGACCCAACCAGGGCCGGGGACAAACTGCAACCCAAATTATGTAGGTTTTTCTGGTCTGTTTTCTCCTTTGACTGGTTGATTTGAAATGACCTGAATTCAGAATTTCAGGACTAGATTTTTTTTTTAACTCATTTTATTTATTTTTTTAATGTGATTTTTTTTTTCTTTAATCCTCACTCGAGGACATTTTTGCATTTATCTTCAAATAGAGCGGGAGGGAGAGAAGGAAGAAGAGAGAGAGAAACATCAATGTGAGAGAGATATATCGACTGGTTGCCACCCGCATGACCCCAACTGGGGCCAGGGACGAACCACAACCGAGGTACAAGTGCCCTTTGCAGGAAACGAACCCGGGACTCTCTGGTCTGTGGGCTGGCACTCTAACCGTTGGGCCAAAGTGGCCAAGGATTAATGTGTTTTTATTGATTTTTAGAGAGAGAGAAGGGAGAGGGAGATAAAAACATCAATGAGAGAGAAACATCAATTGGCTGCCTCCTGCACGCCCCCTACTGGGAATCCAACCAGGAACCTCTTGATGCATGGGTCAGTATTCAACCACTGAGCCACACCTGCCGGGCCTTTTTAACTCATTAAAAAAAAGAGGTTTCTGTCTCTGAAATTTATATTTTCATGTAGTTTTCCTGATTTCCCTGAGTTGTCTCTGTTTGCTTGGAGCTGGCTGAGCTTCTGTAAAACAATTACTTTTACTTTTTGTCCTATACTTTGTTGGCTTCTCTTGCTGGAAACTTATTTTGTTCCTTTAATGATACCGTGTATTCTTGATTTTTATGTGTTTTGTTTTTTTTAATCCTCACCCGAGGACATTTTTTCATTTTTTTGTTAGCGGGAACCGAACCCCGGTCTCTCTGGACTGCAGGCCAACGCTCCAACCACTGAGCCAAACCGGCCAGGGCTTTTATGTGTTTCTTAAAGTATTTGTTGATGTCTCAACATTTTTACCCCTTCCTGCCTTTATCCACTCATTTTAGTGTGCAAAGGTCTTTATCTCGTATTGGTTGTGAGGTCATTGTTCTGTGAGCGTGTGGCAGTTCTGGCTGTGGGGAGGAAGCAGCCATGCAATCACAGTGCAGCTGTTTCAGCCGAGGTCAGGGGTGGCTGATATTGTAAGGGTTCTCAGTAGCCAACGCTGCATGGTGAACTCACAGTTATCTGGTCACACTGAAGCTAGGTGCAGTGTGACATCAGGACTGTGTTCTGATCATACCAGCGAAGTTTTCCATTTAACCTGTGTTTTGTTGTCATTGCCAGTGCCGAACCCCATTTCTACTTTCGCTTCTTCTCTGTAGCTACTATGCTGACTAGGTAATCCTACTACTTTGTCGTTTTTACTCAGACTCCTAGCTTGTGGAGAATCTTTACCTCTCCGGACTTCACATCTCACACATTTCTCTCATCTCTTCCTCTATTGCGCTGCAGCGTTGCTCCACATGTGCCATGAGATAAGCACTCATTGTTGAATTGACCTTGAAGTGCAGCTTCTCTTTCTGCAAATGTTTTTCCTTGGTTTTGACATGTGCTTCTACACACCCTCACGTCACCAGCAGAAAATATTCTAGAGGAATCTTTTGACAGATGAACAAGTTTTGTTATATGCCTATCCTCCTTGTGTTACACCCTATTTTTATATCCTTCCCTTGTGAGAACTCTGCCATTATTTTTTTGCCATAGAGGTGTAGTCATACCCTGCAGCCACTTCCCAAACAAGATTTTTTTGTTTGTTTAGTTAATCCTCATTTGAGGATACTTATTCATTAATATTTAGACAGAGTGGAAGGGAGAGAGAAACGTTTATGTGAGAGACACGTTGATTGGTTGCCTCCTGGAGGGCCCAAGGGGCTGGAGATCGGTCCTGCAACCCAGGTATGTACCCTCGACTGGGATTCGAGCCCGAGTCACTGTAACTGCTGAGCCAGACCATCCAGGGCCCAAACCAGATTTTAATTCTCTTCATTGAAAGCATCCCATAAACTCATTTCTAAATGTTACAATTGAGCATTTGTGATGGCATTGCCACATTCTTATAGTCAATATGTATCTCAGCACCATTTATTTGGTTCAGGTTACTGCTGTGGAGCTGAGGATGTAGAAGCACCCACTGAACAAAGTGTTTCTGTAGGTGTACCACAGGCCAGCATGTCCAAGGCAGCTCTGCCTTCCCAGCAGACCCACTTCTGTGAGAGCTGTGGTCCAGTCTTGAGAGACATATTGCAGTTGGCTCAGCACCAAGGAACACCACACAGCCAGAAGGAGTTCAGGTGTGGGGTTTGTATGAAACAATTTTATTTCAGTGCAAACCTCCAAAAACACCAGAAGCAGCACTTGGCAGAGAAACCCTTCAGAAGCATAATGGAAAAGGACTTGTTCATGAACAGCTATAAATTCCACGTTTCAGAGAAGCCCTTTACCTGTGATGAAATTGACAAAGACTTTCTGGTCACCTCAGAACATCTCCATCAGCCCACCACTCATACCAGGGAGGAGCCCAACAAGACCACACAATGCTGGGCAACTGTACAAAAGAGAAAAACACGTTTCACCTGGGGAGAATGTAAGGAAGCCTTCAGCCCCAGACACATACATGCTCACAAACTGGATGTCCACACTGGAACACAGTGTATTGTGCGACGTGAATGTGGGAAAACATTCAGATATCAGTCCTCATTAGTTGTTCACCAGAGAGTTCATACAAGTGAAAAGCTTCATGTGTGTAATGAATGTGGCAAGTCTTTTAGGCGAACCTCAACCCTCAGTCAGCATCGAAGAATTCATTGTGGACCAAGGCAGTACAAGTGCGGCAAATGTGGGAAGTCCTTTAACCAAAAATGTGTCCTCATGTATCCCTGGAGAAGTCTTAATGGAAAAAAATGTGAGTTGTGCCGTGAATGTGTGCAGTCTTTGAGACGTAAATCCATCCTTATTCGACAACGGACAGTTCACTCTGGGGAAAGGCGTTATGAGTGCACATGGTGTGGGAAATCCTTTAGAAAAAAGTTTTACCTCATTCTACATTGGAGAGTGCACACTGGAGAAAGGCCTTATGAATGCAGTGAGTGTGGGAAAACTTTTACCAGTAGTTCAGTTTTCATTTTACACCGGAGAGTACATACAGGAGAAAGGCTTTTTGAGTGCAGTAAGTGTAGGAAATCCTTTACCAGTAGTTCGATACTCATTCTGCATCAGAGAGTACACACAGGAGAAAGGCCTTATGAGTGCAGCAAATGTTGGAAATCTTTTAGCCAACAGTCTTACCTCACTCAACACTGGATAGTTCACAGTGGAAGAAAGTCCTATGAATGTAGTGAATGTGGGAAATCTTTTATCTCTCGCCCTGGCCTTCGTTACCATCTGAGAGTTCACACTGGGAAAAGGCCTTATCACTGTGGTGAATGTGGGAAATCTTTTTTATTTGGTTCTAACCTCAGTACTCATCAGAGAGTACACACAGGAGAAAGACCTTATCAGTGCAGTGAATGTGGGAAATCCTTTATCCGAAGAAGTCATCTTCTTACACACCAGATAATTCACACAGGAGAAAGGCCTTATGAGTGCAGTGAATGTGGGAAATCCTTTGTCCGAAGAAATTGCCTTCTTAATCACCAGAGAGTTCACACAGGAGAAAGGCCTTATGAGTGCAATAAATGTGGTAAATCTTTTTTGTCTAGTTCCAACCTCAGTAATCATCAAAGAGTACACAGAGGAGAAAGACCTTACCAGTGTAGTGAATGTGGGAAATCTTTTAGTACAAACTCGACAATGGTTCGACACCGGAGAGTTCACAGTGGAGAAAGGCCTTATCAGTGCAATATATGTGGGAAACGTTTTTTATCTGGTTCTAACCTCAGTAATCATCAGAGAGTACACACTAGAGAAAGACTTTATCACTGTAGTGAATGTGGGAAATCTTTTAGCAGGAACTCTACAATGGTTCAACACCGTAGAATTCATACTGGAGAAAGGCCTTATGCATGCAGTGAGTGTGGGAAATATTTTACTTGGAGCCAAAGCCTTCGTTATCATCAGAGAATTCACACTGGAGAAAGGCCCTATGAGTGCAGTGAATGTGGGAAGTCTTTCATCTGTAATTCTATACTTCGTTATCATCAGCGTGTTCACACTGGTGAAAAGCCGTATGAATGCAGTGAATGTGGAAAGTCATTTAGGCTTAGTTTTAAATTTAGTCAACACCAGAGACGTCACAGTGGGGAAAGGCCTTATGAATGCAGTGAATGTGGGAAATCTTTTACCAGTGGTAATGGCCTTCGTTATCATCAGAGAGTTCACACTAGAGAAAAGCCTTAAATGTCCTGGGAATATGCAGTTTTCTGTTTGTTGTAACAACCCTGGAGGAAATTCTTTGAGGAACCATCTGTCTGAATTGAAACATATATATAGATATACACAGTGGGGAGATTCCCCTTACGTTTAATTTATATAGGAAGCATGTTTAAATATGTTACATTTTTTGACTAGCCCAGGGCTCTTCCTAGGTTTGAGTTGCTGCTAGATTTTGTGGCTAAAGTCCTTTCACCTTTACCACTTAGCTGCTAAGTCTTAGCAGGTCCACACACTTTGTAACTGTGAACACCCTGTTGTGCTCATAGAAGCTGATCTCTGGTTTACATATATTGTACCAAACAAAGAGTAGCCTGATCATTTAGGGGTTAGCTTTCCCTTTATGACTAATTTGGACATGGATTGTCGCTTGCAGCTTGCAGAGAAATGACTACGTGTTGGTCCATGTGATACTTATAATGAGGTTTTCTAGTTTCCCGTTCATGGCCTTAGGAAGTGCCTGCTGCACATTGCCTTGGCTTGTATAATAATCAAGGCCTTAGTTTTCTCCTGTACTCTTGGTTATTCTTTTTACTTTATGGAGTCGTACATAAACAAATTGGAGCTCTGCAAGCATGAAGAGGTGAACAACTTCTGCCCACACCCTACCAGGGATCCAGCCCAGGCATGTTCCCTGACCAGGAATCAAACCTGCAACCTTTTGTTGCATGGAACCATGCCCAACTAACTGAGCCACACTGGCCTGGGTGAGGTGGTCTCCAACTTTCTTTTCTTGTGGAGTGAGTGTGTGATGGCAGAAAATAGCTTATTTTGAACAAATTTGCATGGCTCCCACAGCCTCTTGGGAAGAACTGAAGGGTTTTCTGTTTGTCATTAGGATTCTGTGTGTTTTAAGAGACTTAGAAATGACCCTGAGGAGGGGGCATGTATGAGAACCTCAAATACTTATGAGAGTAGCATGATATTTCCTTTACTTAAAGCAGATACCACAGATTATACCATAACTGTAGAGGAGATATATTCCCCGGCTCTACAAAAATTTATGTGCCCTGATATCCACAATTCACTGGGCTACGGTCAGTAGTTGAAAGGTGGGGTTTAGGGAAAATTGTAGTTGATACAAAAACACTGGCCTAGTAGGAATTGGAGGAGACTGCAGCCAACTAGATGTATAGTGCCTCTTCTAAACGTGCATCCAGAGATTGTTCTGCGACAGACACTACATAATCAGTGTACACAGATCTTGTGACTCCCAGACATGTTTATCTTGTACAAGTAGCAGATGTCATAACCGGAGAAAATAAAAATGTTCAAATGGTTATGTGGATTCCTGTAGCCTCTCAGTGATGTCTGCCTCAAATCCATTACTACACAACAATAAAGAAGAATAGAGGACCTGTAGTCCAGGGATGTGGCTGGTGATCTAAGCTGCATTCCTGTTTACAGAAGTGGAAATGTTCATTGCTCCCCATATTTGATGTCTTTAAGGCAATACTGACCCCTAGAGATGGTAGAGTCAATACACAGTGGGAAGCATATTTTCCAAGAAGTTTGGGACATAAAGTGTGTATGTGTTTTTTTTTTCATCTTAAGCCATTTTTTAATACTTTACTGCCAGTTTACATATACTACCTGCATAAATTTAAAGTGTACATATTGATAAGTTTTGACATAGGTATGAACGTAAGAAACCACCTGTCCTTCATTTCTTACTAGCTGTTCTTGAGGCCAGACCTTGCTAAGACAAGAACCTGTGGAGTCAATGTAGAGTAACCATAGCTTTTTTTCTGAAAAGAGTGGAAGATGCAGGTTTTTATTTCGATCAGTGTTTAAAGTTTAGTAAGGTATAAATGACATGCAATAAAACATTAAGGTTTATAATTCGATACGTTTTTTCCATGTTTAAGACCCTGTGAACACATCATAACCATAATGAACATCCATCACTCACATATCTGCATGTCCTTTTTTATCATTTCTTTCCGTATCCTTCCTGGTCCTCATAGCAACCATTGATTTACTCTTTTTTTTTGGGGGGGGGGGGGGGACGTAATTTTTAAATTTTTTTTTCTTTACAAATACACTGGAGAATCATGCAGTACTGCCAGCATTCGATGCAATCCGGGGCCACAAATCTGCACACTTGTTTGCAACTGGTCCTGTGATGGCAGAACCTTTCATCTTGCCTTTGTTTACTATGACCCCTGCATTATCTTCAAAATAAAGAAACACACCATCTTTACCTGGTATGACTTTCATTGTCGAATTACCACTGCTGGTGTACCTTCTTTCTGAGTTCTGATTTGCCTTTTTTTTTTTTAATTATTTTTTTTATCCTCACCCGAGGACATTTTTCCATTTTTTGTTCAGATAGAGTGGGAGGAAGAGAGAGAGAGAGAGAAACATCAACGTGAAGGGACACATCGAGCCGCTGCCACCCGCACGACCAACCAGGGCCGGGGACAAACTGCAACCGAGGTACATGCCCTTAGCGGGAACCGAACCCGGGTCTCTCTGGACCACAGGCCGATGATCTAACCGCTGAGCCAAACCGGCCAGGGCTGATTTGCCTTTTTTGACTGTGGCCCTCACCATGTCACCCACACCAGGAGCAGGAAGTCTGTTCAGTCATCCCTTGATCCCCTTCACAGAGATGATATACAGATTTTTGGCTCCTGTGTTGTCAGCACAGTTGTTCACAGCTCCTACCGGAAAACCAGGGGAAATCTGGAATTTCGCCCCGGAGGACCCACCACGTCCTCACTTCGACATCTTGGACACGGAAAAGGGATCTACTTTTTTTTTTTTAATCCTCTTCCAAGGATATTTTTCCATTTGTTTTCATACAGAGTGGGAGGTAGAGAGAAAGAGAAAAAAACATCAATGTGAGAGAGAGCGACTGGTTTGCCTCCCGCATGGCCCTAACCAGGGCCGGGGACCGAACCTGTGACTTTAGCCCACGGGCCGACGCTCTAACTGCTTAGTCAAAGCGGCCAGGGCCATTTATTTATTTATTGTGTTCTTTTAATAACCCTCACCCAAGGATATTTTCCTGTTTATCTTCCAGATAGAGTGGGAGAGAGAGAGAGACATCAACAAGAGAGGGACACCAACTGGTTGCCTCCCACACAACCCAGACCAGGGCCGGGAACCAACCACAACTGAGGTATGTGCCCTTGACTGGAATTGGACCTTGACTCTGGTCCATGGGCCTATGCTGTAACCTCTGAGCCAAACCAGCCAGGCCTATTTATTATTATTCTTTTTTCTTTTGGTACGTGCCCCTAGTGGGAACCGAACTCGGGACTCTGCCGATGCTCCAACCACTTAGCCAAACCAGCCAGGGCTATTTTTTCATTTTTTAAATCTGTTGTTGATTTTTTTTTTTTTCTTAAAGAAGATGTTTACAGAAAGAGAAACATCCATCAGCTTTCTCCTGCATGCCCCCTTCTGGGGATCTGGCCCAAAATCATGACCTCTTAGTTCATTGGACAATGCTCAATCCACTGAGTCTCACTGACCTGGCTGATTTACCCTCTTTACTGATTATAGTTTCTTGACTTTTATATGATTAAAGTTGAAAAGTGTTTTTTTTTTCCTCCCCTCCATTTTGTCATGCATTATTTTTTGAGATTCATCAGTAATACCTACACGAGTACTTCATTCTCTTGTTTCTGAGTAGTATTTTGTTTTCTGGACATATACTAGTATGCATTCATCTGTTTGGGAGTAATTGGGCTATTTGCAGTTTGGGGGCTATTGCAAATAATGCCGGTTTGAACATTTTCATTACAATTTATTATATGAAGAAGATGTTTCATTTCTCAGGCCTCCATGTCATTTTGTTTCACTACACCTGTGCCTCCATGCCCATCTCATGTCCCCTCCTCCCTCAGAAGCCTTGGACCATTACAAGATTATCCTCTCCCCAACCCACCCAGGTACCCTAGATAGACGTGCACTTGTAATCTCAACCCTCCCCTTCCTAATTTACTATTAGCCTTACCGTCATGCCCACGATTTTTCCTAATGTTACTAAAAGCTTCTCTGCACCTCAGTGTCCACCACCTTTTGTAGATGGCTCCATCCAGAAGCTCTTCCCATAGTTCCAGACCTGTATGTTTAGCTACCTACTAAATAACTGCACACTCTTGTTCTCTGATACACTGAACATGGCCAAAAAAAACCAACTGCTGATAACCCAGTGAAAAGTACTCGCCATGTGGACTACCCTTCTCAGTAACAGAGCTTTCATCCTTCCATTTGGTAACACCAGAAACCTCGGAGTCACCCTGGCTCCTACCTTTCTCTCTTTCACCATCACAGAAAATTCGAGCTACCCTATTCTATTTTATTTTTATTAATTTACTTTTTGTTAATCCCCACCTGAAGATTTTCAGATAGGGAGGGAGGGAGAAGAGAGAAAAACATTGGCTGGTTGCCTTCCGCATGACCCTGACCAGGGCCAGGGATCAATCCTACAACCAAGATACGTGCTCTTCACCAGAAATTGAACCCACAACTCTGGTCTGAAGGCTGACACTGACCACTGAGCAAAACTGGCCAGGACCAAACTACCCTATTTTAAAAACAGAATCCATTTACTTTCCCAACCACCATAATGGGCCACACTATGAACACTCACCTCAGTGTCCTGTGGATGAAACCAACCAGAGTGTCTGTACCGAGCCCTGGGTGTGGGATCCCCACCAGGCCAATCCCTGTTGCAGGACTCTTGTCCCCTGCAGCTGCAGAGACAGGACCACTGTCCCAGTGGTCTGGAAGGCAAGGCTTCAAGATGATTATTCATGAGCCATACTCTCAGGAAGTTTGCCTTGCTCAAATTTGAACTTACATTGGACACTTCATCCCCTTTTTTTTAATCCTCACCCAAGGATATTTTTCTATTTATCTTCAGGGAGAGAGAGAGAAACATCAATGTGAGAGAGACACATTGACTGGTTGCCTCTCGCACAACCCCCACCAGGGCCAGGGACAAACCACAATCTAGGTACATGCCCTTGGCTGGAATTAAACCCAGGACTCACTGGTCTGTGGGCCGATGCTCTACCACTTAGCCAAACCAGCCAGGGGACTTCATTCCTTCTTTATCTTTTATTTCTTTTTTTTTGGAATGGAAATATGTAACTATGCTGTTTGTTCCAACATTGTCTTTTGGAGACGTAACTTTTAATAGGTTCATAGCTGTAGAGGAATTTTGCCTCAGGATGAATTAGACCTTGAGTCTTACATGATGTAAACCATATTAAGATAAGTTTTTGGGCACAGGCCGGTTTGGCTCAGCGGTTAGAACATTGGCCTGTGGTTCGGAGAGACCCGGGTTCGGTTCCAGCTAAGGGCGTGTACCTCCACTGTGGTTTTTCCCCGGCCTTGGTTGGGTCGTGCAGGTGGCAACCACTTGATGTGTACCTTTCACGTTGGTGTTTCTCTCTCTACCCTTCCTCTCTCTCCCTCCTGCTCTAGCTGAACAAAAAATGAAAAAAAAAAAAACAACTTTTCACAAAAGACATTTTAGGCCTGGGGCATGACTACCCACCATGCCCTGCCCTGTTTGAAAGTTATGATCAGGTCATCCTGGGAGGTTACTTAACACAGAACACCCTTTATTTGTGCACAAATGTAGCTTTTTCACCTAATTCAGAATATCCCTCTTCTTTCTTCCCAGCCATGGATCTGTATGGAGTTATTTCTACTATTCGTAGCCAGTCATGATAAAACAAAATACGAGTATTCAACTTAGACTACAACTATTTGAAGGGCAGTAACACTGTGTCCATCTTTGCCTGGACTATTTTATGTGTGATTGACTTTATAGAAAACTATGCCCATTTAGATCAGGATAGTTGAGAGCATCTTAAATATTGTTATATTCTGGAAGCCGACTGCTTCACAGAACATGAAATTAGGCCTTTTGCTGCTGCATGAGCAAAGCCCCTCACGGGAGGTGTGAACACAACTCTTGTAGAATCCCTCCATTAGCAGACCTTGTGGTAGGCCAGGATAAAGCACTCTTCAAAGGCCAGCCGGGGTTGCTTAGTGGATTGAGCATCCTTCCATGGACTGAGAGGTCCTGATTCTACCTGGTGTGGGGCACCAGTCCTCTGCTAACCCCAGTGCCAAGAGTGCAGGAGGCAGCTGGCATCGATATTTCTATCTCCCAAAAAAAATCGATAAAAGCAGCTTGGCGGTGTGTCTCAGTGGTTGAGCATCAAGAGGTCGCCCGTTCGTTTACCAGTCAGGGCACATGCCCAGGTTGTGGGTCCAATCCCCAGGGTAGGGCAGGCCCAAGGCAGCCAACTGATCTTCGCTTTCATCATTGTTTCTATCTCTCTCTCCCTTTCCTTTCCTCTCTCTCTGAAATCACTAAGGAAAAAAAATCAATTGAGAAAAAGATTAAAATGAAAAAAGTCAATAAAAACATTTTTAAAATTTTAGAACTGTTCCCATGGTCTCTACAGTCTGAGAACTACATTTCCCAGAGGACACTGCGCCTAGCTGAAACAATGACAGAGGATCCGGTAATCATTTCCTGGAGGTTTCAATTCTTGAGGCGGGACTTCCGGCGGCATCCTTCGGAAGGACATTTTTACCGTTTCCCAGTAGCCTCTGGGCTGAGGTGACGAAACCAAGAAGGTGCAACGGGATCTTCATCCCACCGCACAGCTGGGGACTGAAGCTCTGCGACGCCTCTGATGAGACCCCTCGCCGTGGACGGTTCGGGGACGGCCGGGTCCGGGGCCGCCTCCACGCCCGCTGCTCCCACGCCGCGCCGCCCGCAGAGTCCGCCGGCGGCGGCCGCGCTGAGGCGCCCGGCGGAGGTGAGAGCGCGTCCCCGGCCTCCGAGCCCCGAGCCCTGCAGCCCAGGCCCGGCGTGCGGACCGGGAGGAAGGCTGAGTGCGGAGAGGAGGGGGTGGCTTCCGAGGGGACAGCGAGTCCACGCGGAGGGAAAGGGTTATTCGTATCTGATAGTCGTGTCCTTCTGGGTGCCTCCGAGTGACGCGAAGAGCAGAGGCCGGCAGGGAGGATGTCAGAGCCTCACTCGGGCCTTCCCTGGCTGTGGGGTCCATCCGAGGGCCGGGTTGTGGCTGGTGGTGTTTGAATTTGTCAGCACTCTGGGCGAGTAGGGAGAGATGTCTGTGATGTGGGGCAGGGAGGAGGCAGATCTGTGAGAGTGGAACTGTGGGGACTGAAGGGTTAGACAGGTAGCGGGTACAGAATGGTGAGCACATGGGTAGGTCGTGTGAGCTGATGGCCCCGAGGCCCTGGTGTGGGGACCAGGTAAAGCAGGAGCCACCTTGGGCTGTGTCTAGCAGGTACAGCCTGGGAGACCCCAGGGGAGTGGCTTTGCAGGAGGGTTGGGCCCCGTGGGCATGGCCCTCAGCTTGGATGGCGTCTGTGTGTCCCTACTGCCTGGTCCTGAGGGCTGAACACAGTCACTGTGGGACCCTGAGAAGTAAGTAGACATCAGTGTCCTCAGGGCCTGGTGTGTCCTCTGTGGTAGGGAACCCAGGAGGAGGAGGAGCAATGGTCATTGTGTGAAGTGATGAGCTGTGAGCTTCTCAGAAAGCAAAGTTTATAGTTTCTTCTGTCCCCACCTTGACAGGATTATGTGACCTTTGATGATGTTGCTGTGTACTTCTCCTGGGAGGAATGGAGGCTCCTTGATGAGGCCCAGAGATACCTGTACCACGATGTGATGCTGGAGGTCTTTGCACTTGCTTCCTCTCTCGGTAAAATTCTCAGTCTCACCAGTGACTTGGACTAGGCTCTGTCGTGCCTCACCCTCCTTTTCCTAGCGGGTGCTCTGTCCTTCTCACATGTGGACCACAGGCACTGCTTCCTTCTTTAGCTGGCTGTGTTTCTAGGGTGGGTGGTTTGCACCGCTTTCTTCTCTGTGCTGCAGCCCCAGAACCTGCTGCATTGAACTCTCCTCATAGGGAAGGAATGCAGGGAGCCTAATGCCTTCCACTATGCATGGTCCCTCCCTGGCCAGGTCAGTGTGTCCAGATTCATGGTACTTCTTCTAATTGCTTCCTTTAGCTGACATTTCCTAAGGTCTACCTGTTTCAGGAATGACAGGCATTGTCATGGTCACTACTTACCTAAACAATGTGATGATTCGATTTATATATATATAGTGTGAAATAATTGCTATAATGAAGTTAATGAACACTTCTATCACCTGTTACAATCAGTTTAATAAAAATAATAGTTCTTGCCCTGGCCGGTTTGGCCCAGCGGTTAGAGCATCGGCCTGCGGTCCTGAGAGACCCGGGTTCGGTTCCCGCTAAGGGCGCGTACCTCGGTTGCAGTTTGTCCCCGGCTCTGGTCAGTCGTGCGGGTGGCAGCCACTCGATGTGTTCCTTTCACGTCGATATCTCTCTCTCTCTCTCTCTCTCTCTCTCTCTCTTCCTCACTCTACCTGAACAAAAAAAAATGGGTGAGGATAAAAATAAATAAATAAATAAAAAATAATAGTTCTTAAGATATACTTTCCCAGTAACTTTTAAGTGTAAAATACAGTATTATTAACTGTAGTCACCATGTTTTACATTAGATCCTCTGAACTTACTCATCTTATAACTGAAGGTTTATTTATACCTTTTGACCAATAGCTCCCCATATCCTTATGTTCTAGGCCCTTGACATTCTACTTTGTTTCTGTGAGTTCACTTTTTGGTTTAGATTCCACATCTAAATGATGTCATACAGTATTTATCTTTCTGTGAGGATTAACAACAAAAGACCTTTTTTTCTATTGTGTGTTCCTGGTACCATTTTAAAGATTAGTTGGCCATATATGCATGCGATTTTTTTACTGGTTTATTTTATTCTATTCCATTTCTCTGCATGTTTGCTTTTATGTAAGTATCATACTTCCCTGATTATTGTAGCTTCATAACATACCCTGAAATAGAAACATCAATATGAGAGAGAAATATCGATTGGCTGTCTACTGCATGCACCCTACTGGTGATCAGGCCTACAACCTGGGCATGTGCCCTGACTGGGAATCGAACCAGTGACCTCTTGGTGCATGGGTCGATGCTCAACCACTGAGCCACACTGGCTAGGTTGCTCCTTTATTTTTATTTTATTTATTTATTTTATTTTTATTCTCACCCGAGGACATTTTTTGCATTTATCTTCAGATAGAGCAGAAGGGAGAGAGGGGGAAGAGAGACAGAAACATTGATGTGAGAGAGACACATCGACTGGTTGCCACCCACACAACCCCAACTGGGGCCGGGGACAAACTGCAACCAAGCTACATGCCCTTAGCAGGAACTTGGGACTCTCTGGTCTGCGGGCCGACACTCTAACCACTGAGCCAAACTGGCCAGGGCTCCTCCTTTATTTTATTTTATTTTTTTACCCTCACCTGAGGACATTTTTCCATTTTTTTTTGTTCAGATAGAGTAGGAGGGAGAGGGAGAGAGAAACATTGACATGAAAGGGACACATCGAGTGGCTGCCACCCACATGACCAACCAGAGTCGGGGACAAACTGCAACTGAGGTACACACCCTTAGCGGGAACCAAACCCAGGTCTCTCTGGACCGCAGGCCTACACTCTAACTGCTGAGCCAAACCAGCCAGGGCTGATGTTGCATTTTTTAAGTTTTGATGTTTTGTTCACATTGTTTGTCTCAAAATAATTTTATTTTCTCTCTTGATTCTTTAACTCACTGATTGTTCAGTAATATATTGTTTAGTATCCACATATTTGTGAAATTTTCAGCTTTTATTCTGCTAATGTTTTCTAGTTTCAAACCCATGTGGTTAGATAAGATTCTTATTTTGATTTCAGTTTTCTAAATTTGTTAAAACTTATAACCAGCCCAGCTGGTGAGGTTCAGTGGTTGAGCATTGACCCATGCACCAAGATGTCGCTGGTTTGATTCCTGGTCAGGCACATGCCCAGGTTGTGGGCACGATCCCCAGTGGAGGGCATGCAGCAGGTGGCCAGTCAATGTTCTCTCTCATCAATGTTTCTATCTCTCTCTCCCTCTCACTTCCTCCCTCTTAAAATCAATAAAGAAAACAACTTTCTTTTTAGAAAAGTTTCTGTCTGGACTTGATATATTTACGTGGTTTTCCTGATTTCCCTGAGGTGTCTCTTTGTGTTCGCTTGGAGCTGACTGAGCTTCTATAAAACAATTAATTTGAATTCTTTGTCAAGCACTTTATTGGCTCACTTGGTGGAAACTTACTGCGTTCCATTGATGCCATGTTTCTTGATTTTTGTGTGTTTCTTATAGCCTTTTGCTGATGTCTACACATTTGACGGATCGGTCACCTTTTTTTGCTTGTGTTTTTGTGAAAAAAATCTTCACCTTGAGGTGGTTGCAAGGTCATTGGCATTCAGGGGGTGGCAGTTCTGGCCGTGGGGAGGAAGCAGCCACACAGTCACAGTTCAGCTGTGTCTGCTGAGGTCAGGGATGGCTGATATTGTAGGTGTTCTCAGTAGCCTAGGGTTATAGGTGAACTCACAGATATCTGGTCATTTTGCAACCTTGTAGGGATAACAGCAGGACAGTGTTCTATCAGACTAGGAATGTTTTCCATTTAACCCATATTTTGTTAACATTGCCAGTGCTGAACCCCATTTCTACTTTCCCTTCCTTGCTGTTTCTACTTTGCTGACTAGTTAATTGTACTACTTTGTCGTTTTTACTCTGGATCCTAGCTCATAGAGAGTCTCCACCTCTCTGGACTTTGTATCTCACACATTTATCTTTTCTTCTATTGCTCTGCAAAATGGGTCCATGCTTGCCATGAGATAGGTACCTGTCCTTAAATTGAGCATGAACTGCAGCTACTATGTTGCAATTGTCTTTCCCTTGGTTTGGACATGTGCTTCTACATATCCTCACGTCACCACAGAAAACATCCTACGGAAATCTTTTCTTGTTTGTTTGTTGGGGGTGGGGGGTTGTTTTGTTAATCCTCACCTGAGGATATTTTTTACTTTGATTTTTAGAGAGAGAGGCAGGGAGGGTGGGTAAGGGTAAGGAAGGGTGAGAGAGATAGAGAAGCATCAATGTAAGAGAGACACATGAATTGGTTGCCTCCAGCATGCTCCCTAACCAGGGACAGAGGTTGAACCTGCAAACCACGTATGTGCCTTTGACCAGGAATTGAACCTGAGACCTTCCTGTGCATGGGCTGATGCTCTAACCATTTAGCTACAGTGGCCAAGGACCTACAGAAATCTTTTGGCAGAGGAACAAATTTTCGAATATGCCTGCTTTGTGTTATACCCTATTCTTGTGACCTTTTCCTCATGAGGACTCTACCACTTTTCCTACTTAGGGGTGCAGGCAAGCCCAGTAGCCTCTTCCCCAACCAGATTTTAATTTTCTTCATTGAAAAATATCCCATAAACTCTTGTCTAAATGTGACAAATACGCATTTATGCTGTTATTTCCCCTTTCTTATGGTCAGCATATACTTCACCAGCGTTTGTTTGTGTTTAGGTTGCTGCTGTGGAGCAGAGGACACAAAAGCACCCCTTGAACAGAGTGTTTCTGTAGGAGTGTCACAGGCCAGCACCTCGAAGGCAGCTCTGTCTTCCCAGCAGACCTACTTCTGTGAGAGCTGTGGTCCGGTCTTGAGAGACACATTCCAGTCGGCTGAGGCCCAAGGAACACCACACAGCCAGAAAGTGTTCAGGTGTGGGGTTTGTATGAAACAATTTTATTTTAGTGCAAACCTCCAAAAGTACAAGCAGCAGCACCTAGGAAAGAAACCCTTCAGAAGCAGTGTGGACAGGGCCCTGTTTGTGAAGAGCTATATATTCCATGTTTCAGAGAAGCCCTTTACCTGTGATGAAGTTGGGAAGAACTTTCTGGTCACCTCAGAACGTCTCCAGGAGCAGACCAATCCCACCAAGGAGGGGCCCAACAAAACTACACCATGCTGGACAACTGTACAAAAGAGAAAAATTCATTTCACCTGGGGAGAATTTAAGGCAGTCTTCCACCCCAGAGACACACGTGCTCAGGACCAGGATGTCCACAGTGGAACACAGTGTATTGTGCGACATGAATGTGGGAAAACATTCAGATATCAGTCCTCATTAGTTGTTCACCAGCGAGTTCACACAAGTGAAAGGCTTCTTGTGTGTGGCAAATGTGGCAAATCTTTTAAGCGAACCACAACCTTTGATCAGCATCGAAGAATTCATTGTGGGGCAAGGCAGTGTAAGTGCAGCAAATGTGGGAAGATCTTTAACCAAAAATTTGTCCACATTTATCCCTGGAGAAGTCATACTGCTAAAAAATGTGACTTGTGCCGTGAATGTGTGCAGTCTTTGAGACGTAGATCCATCCTTATACAACAACGGACAGTTCACTCTGGAGAAAGGCGTTATGAGTGCACACGGTGTGGGAAATCTTTTAGAAGAAAATTTTACCTCATTCTACATTGGAGAGTTCACACTGGAGAAAGGCCTTATGAATGTAGTGAGTGTGGGAAAACTTTTACCCATAGTTCAATACTTATTCTACACCAGAGAGTACATACAGGAGAAAGGCCTTTTGAGTGTAGTAAATGTAGGAAATCCTTTACCAGAAGTTCGATACTTATTCTACATCAGAGAGTACACACAGGAAAAAGGCCTTATGAGTGCACTGAATGTTGGAAATCCTTTAGCCAACAATCTTACCTCACTCAACACCAGCTAGTTCATAGTGGAAGAAAGTCTTATGAGTGTAGTGAATGTGGGAAATCTTTTACCTCTCGCCCTGGCCTTCGTTATCATCTGAGAGTTCACACTGGAAAAAGGCCTTATCGCTGTGATGAATGTGGGAAATCTTTTCTATCTGGTTCCACCCTCAGTACTCATCAGAGAGTACACACAGGAGAAAGACCTTATCAGTGCAGTGAATGTGGTAAATCTTTTACTCGAAGAAATTATCTTGTTACACACCAGAGAATTCACACAGGAGAAAGACCTTTTCAGTGCAGTGAATGTGGGAAATCGTTTTCATGTGGTTCCAACCTCAGTAGTCATCAGAGAATACACACAGGAGTAAGACCTTATCAGTGCAGTGAATGTGGGAAATCTTTTACCCAACGTAATTGCCTTCTTACACACCAGAAAATTCACACAGGAGAAAGGCCTTATCACTGCAGTGAATGTGGGAAATCTTTTCTTCGAAGAAATTCTCTTCTTATACACCAGAGAGTTCACACAGGAGAAAGACCTTATCAGTGTAGTGAATGTGGGAAATCTTTTTTATCTGGTTCCAACCTCAGTAATCATCAGAGAGTACACACAAGAGAAAGACTTTATCATTGTAGTGAATGTGGGAAATCTTTTAGCAGGAACTCAACAATGATTCGACACCAGAGAGTTCACACTAGAGAAAGGCCTTATCCATGCAGTATATGTGGGAAATCTTTTATCTGTAGTTCCAAACTTCATCATCATCAGAGAGTACACACAAAACAAAGACTTTATCAGTGTAGTGAATGTGGGAAATGTTTTAGTAGGAACTCGACAATGGTTCGACACCAGAGGGTTCACACTGGAGAAAGGCCTTATGAGCGCAATGAATGTGGGAAATCTTTTATCGGTATTTCCAAACAACGTCATCATCAGAGAGTTCACACTTGTGAAATACCTTATGAGTGCAGTAAATGAGGAATGTTGTTTAGGGATAGTTCCAAATTTAATCAAAACCTGAAATGTCACACTGGAGAAAGGCCTTACGAGTGCTGTGAATGTGGGAAATCTTTTATATGTTGTTCCAAACTTTGTTATCATCAGAGAGTTCACACTAGAGAAAGGCCCTAGAAGTGCTGGAAACGTGCAATTTTCTGTTCGTGTACCAATCCTGGAGGAGCTTCTTTCAGGAGCCATTTGTCTGAATTGAAACTCATACACCTAAATATGTACAGTGGGTACATTCCCCATAGTTTCATTTGCACTCCTGACTTGCCGATGGGTCTTCCTAGGTTTAAGTTGCTACTAGATTTTTGTGGCTGAAGTCCTTTTATGTTTACCATCTGGCAGTGCCACCTACTTTGCCAAAAGGGCCAGGGCTAGTTCCACATACTTTGTAACAGTGAACACCCTAATGTGTTCAGGGATGCTGACCTGTGGTCTCACATGTATTGTCACAAGCTAGGAATAACCTGAGCCCTTAGAGATCAGCTTTCCCTTAATGACTTACTTAGAAGTGGACCTGAGTCCATGTGTGGGCCCAGAGGATATCATGACTTCCGCTTGCAGCTTGCAGAGATATGACTACCTGTTCTCACATAATACTTGTGATGAGGTTTTCCATCTTCTAGTTCATGAACTTTAGAAGTACCTGCTGCACACTGCTGTGGTTTGTACAGATATTAGGGCCTTACCTTTTATTTTTTAAATATTTTTATTTCAGTTTTAATTTTTCTTTTTTTTTAATCCCCACCAGAGGACATTTTTGCATTTATCTACAGATAGAGTGGGAGGGAGAGAGGGAGGAAGAAGAGAGAGAGAGAGACATCGACTGGTTGCCCACCCACACGACCCCAGCCAGGTCTAGGGACAAACTGCAACCAAGGTATGTGCCGTTAGTGAGAACCGAACCCGAGACTCTCCAGCCCTCGGGCTGATGCTCTACTGCTGAGCCAAACCTGCCAGGGCTGACCAACTTTTTAAGGGTCTGAAACTTTCTTTGCTTGTGAAGGGACTCTTTAATGGCATAAAATAATTTGCCAGTTTTGACCAAAGTTCTGTCGCTGCCCACAGCCTCCTTGATTCTTATTTGGATGATATGTGTTTTAGGAGTCTTAGAGATGACCCTGATGTTGGGGTAGGTTATGAGGACCTCAAGTACTTATAATAGTCACATGATTTTTCTTTCACCTAAAATAGATATTGCAAATTATACCACCACTGTCGAGGGGATATCTTCCCCCAGTCTACAAAAAGTCATGTACCTTGACGTCTGCAATTTACTGGGTTAGGGTCATTGATTGAAAGACTGGGTCCTGCCCTGGATAATTTTTCTCAGTGGTTAGAGTGTTGGCCCACGGACCAAAGAGTTGCAGATTCAGTTCCGGTCAAGGGCATGTACCTTGGTTGCAGTTCGATCCCTACCCCTGGTTGGAGTCATGCGGGAGGCAACCAATCAATGTGTCTCTCACATCAATCTTTCTCTCCCACCCTCCCTCTCACTCTATCTGAAAATCTTCAAGTGAGGATTTAAAGGGAAAAAAAAGAAAGACTGGATCCAGGGGAAACTGCAGTGGGTACAGAAACACTTGCCTACTAGGGATTGGAGGAAACTGCAACCCACTAGATGGATTGTGCCTCTTCTAAACATGCCTCCAGACCTAGCAGGTTTGGCTCAGCGGTTAGAGTGGTTAGAGTGTCGGCCTGCAGCCCAGAGAGGCCTGGGTTTGGTTCCCGCTAGGGGCACGCACCTCCATTGCAGTTTGTCCCCGGCCCTGGTTGGGTCGTGCGGGTGGCAGCCACTCGATGTGTCCCTTTCACGTCAATGTTTCTCTTCCTCCCACTCTGTCTGCACAAAAACTGGGAGAATGTCCTCGGGTAAAGATAAAAATAAAATAAACGAGCCTCCAGAAGTGCTTTTGCAATAGTGACTGCTTATCAGTGTACACCAACCTCTGGACCCTCCAGGGCATGTTTATCTTGTATAGCTAATGTCACCGTCAGAAAGTACGAAAATAATCAAAACACCTTTGTTCCCATTGAGGCAATACTGACCTCTAGAGGGCACGAGGAGAGAGATGGTGGAGTCAATATAAGGTGACCATACCTATTTTCCAAAATAATTGGGACATAGTTGTTTTTAAAATATGTTTTTAGTCTGGCCAGTATGGCTCAGTGGTTGAGCATCGACCCATGCACCAAGAGGTAGCCAGTTTGATTCCCATTTAGGATACATGCCCAGGTTGTGGGCCTGATCTCCAGTGGGGGACATGCAGGAGGCAGCCAATTGATGTTCTCTCTCATTGATGTTTTTATTTCTCTCTCACTTCCTCTTTCTCTAAAATCAATAAAGGAAAAGAAAAGAAATATGTGTTCATTGGTTGTTTTTGTTTTGTTTTTTTATAGAGGGAGGGAGAGAGTCCTGTCCAGTTTGGTTCAGGGGTTAGAGCGTTGGCCTGCAAACTGGAGAGGGAGGGACACACATTGATCAGCTGCCTCATGCATACCCCCTACTGGGGATGGAGCCTGCAACCCAGTCATGTTCCCTAACTGGGAATCAAACCCAGAACTCTCAGTCCATAGGACGACATTCAATCCACTCAGACACATCCGCTGGGCAAAGTTTTTTTTTTTTTCTCTCTTAATTTTGAGACATTTAAAAAACTTCAGTACCATTTTACATATGCTATTTGCATATATTTAAAGTATACAGTTTGATACGTTTTGACATAGGTATGAGCCTACAAAACCATAATCATAGTCCTGATAATGACCATAACAGTCCATTAGAGTGAGGTTGCTCCAATGCCACACAGCCTATGTGTGCAAACTGAAATACTTCAACGTAAATTCTTATAAATGCCTCAATGGTAACAAATTGAAACTTAGGAACAACCAGTCACAGATGACCAACTATGCTCACCCTAGTGAAGCAAGTACTTAAGCTATAGCTAATCAAATATTTGTCTTGCGCTACTTCCTTTCTGTTCAACCAAAACCTTTCCTGTGGTCTGGTTGAGTTCTGCCTGATTGGAATTGACATTTGCTCTAATAAAATCTTCAAAATTTTAATGTACCCCAGTTCATCTTTAAATAGAACAAAGTACCTCATCTGTCACAAGAATACCCACCAGGCTCTTGCTTTTTTTTTTCATCCTCACTGGAGGACATTTTCGCATCTATCTTCAGATAGAGCGGGAGGGAGGAAGAGAGAGAGAGAAAAAAACATTGATGTGGTCTTGGCTGGTTTGGCTCAGGGATTAGAGTGTCTGCCTGTGGTCCAGTGAGACACAGATTTGGTTCCCGCTAAGGGCATATACCTCTGTTGCAGTTTTTCCCTGGTTCTGGTTGGGTCATGTGGGTGGCAGCCTCTCGATGTGTTCCTTTCACAATGATGTTTCTCTCTCCTCTCCCTCTCTATCCAAAAAGATGGAAAAATGTCCTCAGGTGAGGATTAAAAACAACATCCATGTAAGAGAAACTGACCAGCTATCTCCTAAACACCCCCTGCTGGGTATCAAGCCCCAAGCCCGGGCATATGCCTTGAGCAGAATCTAACCCTGACCTCTCTGTCCATGGGATGACACTCAATCTGCTAAACCACACCGGCCAGGCCACAGATTTCTTTTCCTTAACTATCTCCATCCAACGTCTCCCATAACTCTGCTACCCTGGCAGGCATTTTCAGGGCATCCCCATACTCACGCGTTTGTCCTCAAGCCTCCAATCCTTGTGCCAACTGTCCCAAAGCATGAGTACTTAGCTATCCTGGAACATCCCACAGCAAACCCACTTTCTCCCCTGGCTTTAGTGGGTTCCTCAGAATCATGCTTTCAGCACCAGTTGTTGAAGGAAAGCCCAAAAAATCTAAATTCAGGATTGCTTCTGAAGAACTGACACATAGCCTTATTCAAATATATAAGACCTTTAATCAGAGAAACTTACACAGGCAAAGCAGCTGCTCCCAGTGGTGTCCAGTTGGGAATAAAGCCACATCCTCCTAGGACTGGGCCTCTTTTTTATACGTGGTTAACAGTAAAAGCATATTGGGGAGGGGGGTGTGGAGATAAACCACAGAATTTATATGCATATAAGCATAACCAATGGACATAGACAACAATGGTGTGAGGGAGGGGGCGGGATTGGGAGGAGAGTGTTAATGAGGGAAAAGGGGAAACATCTGTAACAAAAATAAAATTTTTTTAAAAAGCATATGATGAGCAGTCACGTAGATCACCAGAAAGAATAATGCATTTCCAAGTTAATAGATAACATCAGGCAGTTATCCACACTCTGTACATCTATTAACCTCCTTCACGGGCCTGGTGTTTATCTTTGGTTGGTATTCCAGTTTTCTCAGTAATCAGCCAAACTTGAAGCTCCTGAGAGGCAAAAAGTCGCAGATGGTTAAACAGAATCCAGCATTTTCCTGGACACCTTACTGCTGGAGACACATTGCATCTCTGAGCTCCCTACACATGAGAGAGACATTTTCATTCCAAAAGGTGGAAATGAGAAAGAAGGGATGAGGTGTCCAAAGCAAGTTCAAATTCAAGCAAGGCAAACCTCGTGAGATCATATGGCTCATAAACAATGTTCTTTGGTTTGAAGCCCTGCCTTCCAGACCCACTGGTACAGTGGTCCTGTCTTCACAGCGGCAGTGGACAAGAGTCCTGCCCCAGGGATTGAACTGTTGGTACAGACACTCTTGTTGGTTCCATCCACAAGACATTGAAGAGAGTGTTAATGGTGTGGTCCATTGTGCTGGAGGTGGGAAAAGTAAATGGATTTTATATCAGTTTTTAAAATACGAATGGCAGCCCTGGCCGGTTTGGCTCAGCGGTTAGAGCGTCAGCCTGTGGTCCAGAGACCCGGGTTCAGTTCCCGCTAAGGGCACGTACCTCGGTTGCAGTTTGTCCCCGGCCCTGGTTGGTCGTGTGGGTGGCAGCCACTTGATGTGTCCCTTGCATGTCGATGTTTCTCTCTCTCTCTCTTCCTCTCTCTCCCTCTGACTCTGAACAAAAAAATGGAAAAATGTCCTCAGGTGAGGATAAAAAATAAATAAAATACGAACAGCAGCTTGGCCCTTGTGAGCTAACGCAGATGGTTGCAACATCATCCTTTTGCCAGGGTTGCAGGCTCCATCTCAAATTGAATTAGGACGCATTCTGCATGACAGATGACGCTGTCAAGTCCTTTCACTGGAAGACTAATTCTGTTTATTTTGTACATGCATGTAATGGGTTTTTCTGCTTAGCCATATGGAGAGTGAGGTTTGTCTGTCTTCAGAATTTCTTAGTGGGTTGCCTGTGAGGCACATCACTCTCTGGCTTAATTACTTAATAAACTGTTTCTGTCTCTACTACCCTTGTAGGAAGGATTTCTGGGCTGGGGAAAGATTTTGCTTGTAGTTCCCCAACAGTCACCACCACACACCTGATGGTAGAGACCAAACCTCCAGCATCCAGCTCATCAGTAGGGAGTGACATGTAATAGTATTGCACTTGCCCTGGCCTGTTGTACAGTGGTTAGAGCATCAGCCCGCAGACCAGAGAGACCTGGGTTCAGTTCCCGCTAAGATCACATATCTTGGTTGCAGTTTGTCCCTGGCCCCGGTTGGGGTTGTGTGGGTGGCAGCCAGTCAATGTTTCTCTCTCTCTCCCTTCTGCTCTATCTGAAGA